GATTCAGAAGGCTTCATCTCACAGCAGTCCCTTACATCCTATGGCTGCTTAGTGGGAATCATCCGGTCCTCCATATGTGATTTGGTCATTTCGAAAGTCCCTCAAGCGTTTTCTCTTGTCAAACTCTGCTGTCCTTTAAATTCCATCTTAAAACCTACTCCTCCTTCTAGAAACCTGAATAATCTCTTCCCCTTATTTCCTTGCTTTAGAGACTCCTAAAAGCTTTGAAAAGAAAGATTACCTTTAGTAACCTAGTTGGTCAGTCCCATAGTGGATGTCATTAACCACCTGTGGTCCTAAATCAGGAAACTACCGAAGTGTGGAAACACTCCAACGTCAATTAGGGAAATGTGGCCCGGCTGGCATGGCTCAGTGGTTGAGCGTGGAGTTATGAACCAGGAAGTCACCGTTAGATTCCCCGTCAGGGCACATGCCCAGGTTGCAGGCTTGGTCCCCAGTGTGGGGCATGCAGGAGGCAGCTGATCAATGATTCTCTCTCATTGTTGATGTTTCTCTCTCCCTCTCTCTTCCTCTCTGAAATCAATAAAAAATATATATTTTTTTTTAAAAAAATAAGGCAATGTGGGACCTAAAATGTGATGAGCAGACATCTAATCAACTGTATTTTAACCTGCTTGGTGAAATATCATAACAGAAGTGGATAGTCAACCCAGGACAGTGATCCTCATCTTTCTGAAAATGTAATCAATCTCTTTTAATATTAAAAAAATAAACCATAGAACCCTACCCCTTTTAGTTAGAATCTTTTGTTCCAAAAGTCACACGATAAAGAACTACCATAAAGTGATGAATGTATGTTACATGAACTTGACAATGACATCATACACTTGAAGGACAGCAGCAGATATGTGAGACCATGCTTACGTGCAGAAGAGCAGGGCTGCAGGAACCAATGGCAAGACAAGGGAAACTCAGAAGCAGAAGTTGGCAGAGCCCAGCCTAGCCCAGCATTGTCTAGGGAAAGGCTGACCCGGCCTATCTCAGTTGCAGGATTTCCCTAGAGAGGAGATGGACACAGGCTGAAAGCTCCAGGCTATTTATAATGGCATTTAAAGAGTACCCACCTCCTCAGGTTTCAATTCATGTGCACTATGCAACTTTATAACAATAATTTGGCTTCTCAATAACTTAAATGTCCAGGGTTTAAGAACCCTTTCAGAAAAATGGGTCACAGACTAATCATTGTGTAAATAGATAGGTTGTTTTTCATGGTTTCTATTTTGAAGATGTTATTCACTGGGAGATATTTGTTCAAAAATTTTTCTGTTTTTTGGATTTGCTTCAGATATTGTTCTGATCCTTATTTATTTTTAATATATTATTATTGATTTCAGAGAGGAAGGGAGAGGGAGAGAGAGAAACATCAATGATGGAGAGAGGCTCATTGATGAGCTGGCTCCTGCAAGACCGGGGATCGAGCCCAAAACTTGGGCATATGCCCTGTCCGGGAATCAAACCATGACTCCCTGGTTCATAGGTCGATGCTCAACCACTGAGCCACTGCAGCTGGGCTGATTCTTATTTTATAAGAAACCTGAAACCTATTCTGTCTGGATTCCTCTATGTTCTTGGTGACTGGTTTTACAATGATGTATTTTGGTGTGGGTCATTTTTCATTCATAATTCTAAGTACTCAGTGGGGCCTTTTATTCTGAGACTTACATATTCTGTTTGGGAGATTATCTGGAATTTCATAATTTTCTCTCCCCCATTTTCTTATTTCACACTCTTTGGAACTCATATGATTCATATTTTGGATGTCCTAAGCTAATCTAAATTTCTTCTTTTTGTCTGCCTATTATTCCTTTCTTTGTCCTTTTGTTCTCTTTTGGGGGAGATTTCCACAACTTTCAATACAAACACATTTTCTGGATTTTTAAAAATTGGGTTTAAAGTTTCTACTATTTTCCAACAGTTCTTTTATGGTCTCAGATTTTTTTTATATATAGCTTCCTGTTCTTGTTACAGATATATTTCTGTTATTGTAAAGATATTAAAGTTTTCTTTTAAGTCAATTTTTCTTCTCTCTGCATTCATTGTTTCATCATGGTTTCTTTTGTTATAATGTTTGATTCCTATATTAGAGGATTTCCTCAGATATGTGGTGATCCTTGGCTGTCAGTTCAAATTTACAAGTGGGGCATTAAAAAGATGATTATAATCTCTGAGTACATGAATAGGGCTTATTGAATGACAGGATTCACTGTAAGATTAAGAGATTCTCAGGAATCCCTAGGTTGGGAGGCCCCCACCCCAAATCTTTTCTCTTTGATAAGTAATTTCCTCCAAGCAGAACCCTCTAATTTTCTGCCAAGGGAATAGGGAGGTGGTATAAGGTAATGTCCAGAGCCTACATGGAGAAGCCCCCATCCTGAAGCTATCTAGGGGTCCACCAAGAGTCACCTTATTAGCATAAACTCAGGTGTGCTTGAAGAGACTTATTATGAATATCAGTAGATAACACCTCTCAAACCTATCCCTCAGAACATTCCAAGGATTTTAGAACCCTGATTCAGGAAATGGGGAAAATTCTCATGTCAGGAACTGGGGACAAAGATCAAATATATATTTATTATATCACAATATCACACCTCCCTAATGTGAGTGGCCCTCATTCAATAAGTTGAAGGCCTGAATGCAACAAAAAGGCTGATCCTTCTGTGAGTGAGAGGGAACTCCTTCTGCCTGATTGCTTTGAGATGAAACATAGGTCTTTTGGGTCTTTAGACTCAAACTAATATAATAGCACTTTGTGAATTTTAAGACTGCCAGCTTTCAGACTAGAAATTATACCATTGGCTGAGTCTCCAGGTTGTCAACTGAAGATCTTGGGACTTCTTAGCTTCCATAATCTCGTAGCCAGTTCTTTATAATAAAAATCTCTTTATACATACACAGTCACGTGCTGCATAATGGCATTTCAGTCAATGATGGACCACATATATTACAGTGGTCCCATAAGATTATAATGGAGCTGAAAAATTCCTATCATCTAGTGATGTCATAGCTGTCATAACTTCCTCGAGCAACTCATTATTCACATGTTTGAGTAAACCTACTGCACTGTCAGTTGTATAAAAGTATAGCATAGACAATTATATACAGTACATAATACATGATATGATAATACATAACTACGTTCTGGAGTGTCTGGTACATAAAAATGCTCTACAATTATTTGTGGAATTATTTAAAGAACTTTAAAATTATATGTTACATTTAAAATTTATTTTTTAAATGAAAAATGATTCATTGCAATTACACAATTTTCAGGAAAAAAATTTAGTTAAGAAACATACAGTACACAGGTTAAAAATGCATATAACACAGAAAAAGGCCTCTGTGCTTGTCTATGAACACTTTCTACCTTACTCTTACGTGGCCTATCAATTCTAAAACCATAAACAACTAATAAAATAGCTATATAAACATTCTAAGTGCCACGGAAATGAACTGCATGAATGCAGCATTTCTTTGGGAACCTTGTCTTTCCATAGATACCATCTTGTGCTACCCAATCAAAGTAAGAGACTTGCTAATAACAAAACTTCGTATATAATTTAAACACAACTGTTCAAATAAAAACAAAAATTTTAATCAGATTTCTTGTGCATAGCTAGGTTTTAACATTGGAGAATAAGGCATTCTTTCACCCATACCCCTACATTTCTTTTTTATCAATCTCAAGTTTGGTCTAAGACTAATATCTCTGCCAATAAACAAGGTCTTTTCTAGCACCAGCCTATGCAGGTGTATTATGAAGAGGATATAAATTGAAGGATCCCTGAGGATGAGTTTGGGGGTCCCTGCTCTCTGCTTGTGGGAGTGTCCCAAGAAGCTCCAGTGCTCCTGCAATTCAAGAGGTGAATTTTCTTTCTCTTACCCTACCCTCATATAAAACTACTCTCCTCAAACTTTGAAAATCTGTATCCTTTGATATTTTTAAGCAAGTTGTTATAGAACATTTAAGTAATCTGTATAAATACCCTTTCTCAATGAAGCACAGAACAATAAAAAACTACCAGAAAGTACAGTGCTTCCTACTTAGATCCCTGACCACTCTTTCTCCAGGGGCTCCTAGGATCTCCATGGGCTCCTTGGGGCCACCCCTGGGGAAAGAAAGCGGCAGGAAAAGTGCCAGGTGCATAATGGGGAGCTGTTCACTAAGGAAAAAGGAGCCCTGAGATTTGGTACAACCACTTTGTCCCTTTTTCACAGAATCAGGAAAGCACATTAGCTTCCTGGGAATCCCTTACACATATATGGAGCTGAAAGGACTTCACATCAGTAGCATCCCAAGTTGAGAAGCCCCAGAAGCTGACTTCAGCCCTCAACCCAACATAGCAGGTTTTCCTGTTTTTCTTCACCAGTGAAATCATTATCTTATGAGAGACAATGACCTTGGGGTTTCTATTTGAATAACTTCTACTTGGAATTGCATCAGATCCAGCATCAAACACACCAGCCTCACTTTCATTATTATAACATTCTGTAAGGCAGACCACCCTTAACAGGTCATCAGAATTACCTGGGGAGGTTGTTTAAAATACTGTAGATTCTAGAGCTCCACTCCCAGCAGCTCTGACTCAGTAGGCCTTGAGTGGGGTTTGGGAATTTGCATTTTCAACAGGGCTCTCCAGATGATTTTGATGGAGGTAAATGAGGCCCACAATTTGAGAAACACGGACTTTACAGAAAGAGGCCAGAATTGCTTCTTTCCCAGGATAAAATCCAAGGCCACCAGACTTCCGACAGGGTCTTCCTTGAAGAGGTGTCTGGTGAAGAGGTCATCGAGACTCATCCTCAAGGACTCAGGGAGTGAGTTTCGATGGTGCCCAGCTCTTTAAGTGAACCAAAAAGTGGGTTCACACTTGGCTAGACTGGAGGAGAGGTAGCAAAATCCCAAAGTACCAGAAAAGTTCTGGCTGCTTCTGGTCTGAGAGCCCAGAGTACAACTTTTCCCTTTCCCTTCTTCCTTTTCACTGTCGCCGAGTTAAAGAAGCCAAATAGACCCACACAGATAATATGTTGTTTGGGTATGGGTGAATGTATACGGCGAGAGCAAATTCTGTCTGGGGATATTCCGAGGAGTGGATTCCAGTTTGATACATGGCATCAATCACTGTCTGTACATTAGTGTATGGCATCTGGATAGGAAATCCTGCAATCTGGACCAAAAGACAATAACATGTAAACCCACATTACAATCATGTAAGTGATTTTATGCAAAAAGATCACAGAAGCCTCAAAGAAACTGGGATCATAAAATAATAGTAATTTTGTGCTTGCTTACTAATTTCCAGGTACAGTGCTAAATGCTTCATATACATATTTAATCCTCAAACAACCCTATATGGTATGTTCTATTGTAATCCCTACTTTACAGAGAGGACCAGAGCCAGGTTGTCTGCGGCCAGAGCCTGCACACTTAGCATTCCACATACTTGCCCTCTTTCTAGAATAGCAAACTGCCAACAAGGAAATCACTTGGTCTTACAAATGAGGGATTTAAGTGAGCATTTTGGAAGAATTTATTTAACAATTATTCCATTTATATTTATTAACTGGTAACTGTGTGACAGCATTAAAGGGTAATGGAACACAGACCTATGTAAAATTATCTAAGACAAATCATAAACCTCCTTCAGGCCTCAGAGATTGTTTATGTCAGGAGGCTTTCCCTGATCCTTAAATCAGTTCACATGCTCTTTCTATATGGTTGCATAGTACACTGTCCTTCCTTAGCTTACATAATAAAATATGTTGCAATTACGTACATGTTTTCTGGTCAGTCTAGCCCAGGGGTGGGCAAACTTTTTGACTCCAGTACCTAGCACAATGCCTGGGCACATAGAATACAAATAATGGTTAACATATACAAACATTTGCTAATATAAATTCAAAGTAAACATCATTACATAAAAGGGTACGGTCTTTTTTTTTTTTTTTTTTTTTTAGTTTTATTCATTTCAAACGGGCTGGATCCGGCCCGCGGGCCGTAGTTTGCCCACAGCTGGTCTAGCCCATAGTCTCTGTGAATGTACAACCCCAGTACCTAGCACAATGCCTGGGCACATAGAATACAAATAATGGTTAACATATACAAACATTTGCTGGATGCTAGGATAAATATTACCTCACTTTATCCTCACCTTTGCAACCACAAGTCAGATAATTATTTTTATTCCTGTCTATCTTGCCCAATGGGGTAAAAAATGTAGAGAAGTTAGATAACTTGGTCAAAGCTAGTGAGTGGTTGAGACAGGATTTGAACCCTAGCTACAGGATTTAGTCCAGGTTTATGATGGTGTGTTATTAAGTAGTCAGATAATTTTACAAAGGAACTCCAGGTTTTAAACCCTGCCATATATTTAACTATATTTTGCTTATCAGTTTACTCTTTTTTTTTAAGCAAAACAAAACAACTTCTTCCCTATTCTTGAATAGTGACTGCAGATCCTTCCCTGGCAACCTAAGTACTCACATCCCAATGGATTCCTTCCTTTCCTTCTCTCAGAGGAGCCATATTCTATGAGATGGCAGGGGGTAGAAATCTCACTCTTGGGAGGCTGGGCATTTTGAAAACCCACTGGATCAGTTCATAGGGAGGAGGAGGTATGAGGATTCCCAGAACCAGGGGTAGGGTAGGGGAAGAAAAGGGAGGATTCTAATAATATATCAAGTGCCCACCATGCTTGGTTATGGACTTGATGAGTTTTAGATGGCTTTTTATCATCTAGGATGATGTCATATGTGTTGGCAAATATATAAGAGAAGTCAGGAGAGAAGCTGAGGATGTATAAATTTGAGAGTAATTTGAACATAGAAGATATTAAAGCTTGCCTGGAGTCCTCTTGCCCAGAACCAAGGACAGGAAATCCATTCTATTATTACCATCTAGAGACCATTTTTTAGTTTCTCAGTTGCAGGTGGTTTTCTTTTGGGCATCTCTTTCCAAAGTTTGTGGTTTACATATCATACAACATAAGACTGATTCAAGGAAACATCATGCAATGTGGCCATAGTAAGAGCTGTTCACTATATTTTACATTTCTTGGTCTATAAATAAATGCATTTGAATGACATAGCATCTATCATCTAGGATCAAGATAGGCATTTCAGAGATATTTAAGATTACTATTACCTGGCAATTAACAACATAGATAAAACAAATGACATTAGTGTATTACATCATATACAAACCCAATAAAATTGTAATAGTCTTTCAAATTCACTCTCTTCTTCAGAGGAAACAAATCTTTCAGTGCCAAGTTCTAGCTTAGGAAGAATGTGTCGCAAAATAGAAGTACATTGTCGATTCCAACGTGTTGGCTGCTTAGGTCGCCATTCCATAATTTTACATTTTAGAGTCCTTTCAATCCTACAATGATTATATTTATGACAAATGTGAGAAGAGTTTTGTCACTTTAAACTTTTACTCAAGCATGAGGATGATACATTTTTTTTATTTAGGAGGAAACCAGACTTCTATGGCTAGGAATATCTGCATCATTCACATTAATCAAGTCTGGAAGAAGCAGGCTCTTGCTTGGCTTGGGAAGGCAAGAAGCTTCCCGGGGTATCCAGCAATAAGATGTCAAAGGCACATCTCTTTTCCAGTTACCTATGTGTAGGCTGCTACCTACCAGGTATGATTTGACTGTCTGATTACTGGATTGACATCCTTATTCTCCAAGACCCTCCTTTGACATAAGACACTGGGTTTCCAAGAGGCTGCCTTTACAAAAGTTCAGATATCTGGTCTGGGTCAAGTTAGCAGGGATATGTTTATTAGATCAGTTAATTGAGTAAGCAGAGTTGGGAGGAAATGAGTCACTGGATTGGTAAGTATGATGATCAGTTTCCCCAAAACAATGTACACTCCATAAGGGTGGGGATTTTTGCCTGTATACCCCGCCCCCAAAACAATGCCTGGTGATGAACTGTTCCAGGAAGGGAGAGAGGTGGGGTATGGTTGATGGGGCCCTCCTGGGAAACCTGTCCTCTGTGTAGAACCAGTGTATGCTACAGAAGAAGCTGCTGGGAGTCCCCCTTGGCTGAGTCTTCAGTGTAACTAAGTAGTTTGGAGTTTACTAACTCATTAGTGGCTAGGCATCAGAATCACCTGTAGAACTTTATCAAAACGTTCACCTCCAGATATGGATTCAATAGGTCTGGTCTGGGACCCTGACACCTGTATATTTAAATAGTTCAGGAAGCAATTCTGATGAAAACCAGAAGTTGGAAACCATTTCCCAATTGCATTTCTTCCTTTTTTTTTAAGAATTGGAAAAGAAGGGGGGGGATATGCGGTGGGCATTATGTGGCAGTAAAAGAAGAGAGTGTCAAAATGGTTTGTGTCATGTTCTGTTTTGATTAGTTGGCAGTGGCTAACATGCCAGCCTGCTATGTCAGCATGAGTCACTGGAGGCAGTCAGATCTAGAAGCTTCTGACACATCTGGAGTAGGAAAGGCCTGCTGCAAAGATTGTGGCCCTCTGGGCTTGACTGAACAACAACTTAGGGTGCGTGTGTGTGTGTGTGTGTGTGTGTGTGTGTGTGTGTAAGGGCGAGAGTCCAGGAGAGACGATATTGATGTTTCTACCACCCACTTTGGATATTTTTACCAAGTTGTGGGCCATGTACCGTCATGTCCTTTCAAGAAGTATTAGCTAGGCAGTGGTTCTCAACCTTCTGGCCCTTTAAGTACAGTTCCTCATGTTGTGACCCAACCATAAAATTATTTTCGTTGCTACTTCATAACTGTAATGTTGCTACTGTTATGAATCGTAATGTAAATATCTGATATGCAGGATGGTCTTAGGCGACCCCTGTGAAAGGGTCGTTGAACCGCCAAAGGGGTCGCGACCCACAGGTTGAGAACTGCTGAGCTAGAGCATTATTACTATAGGCTCAACAGGTGTCTGTGTTGAGAACTTCCCAACAGTAGCCTACAATATTTATCAGAGGCAACCATTTTTAACTTTGCCTGTCATTTCAAGGAGCATCTGGGATGGCAGAGGAGTTGACTCAATGGAAATAATTATTACAATCTCCATTTCATGCTTCTGTGGTTAAATCTAATAGGTATTTGGAGAGACTGGTTTAGAGTGTGACAGAGTGAAATGCTCAACTTCTCTGACTCCATCTTGTTCAAGCCTGCTGTGTTCTTGCATATAGACATGCTAATCATGAGAGGAATTCTGCTTGCAGCTTGAGTTTTTACAAAAACAGCCCCTTGCCAGAGGTGCCTCTCCAGTAGAGATAGGGGAAATGTGTACAAAAATAACGATTGTTTATTAAACATTTGCAGGAGCCTCAAGACTGGATTCATCAGCTGGGTCAATAGTCTGGGAACAAAGAGATTTAGACATTTTTTAGTCTTCCTCAGACTCCTGCTGGTACCCAGATGTCTGCAGTTGGTTGTCAACCACCTCTTGCCCCTCCATTTCCCCTTCCCTTGACATAAAAGAAGCCTGAACTCTGTACTTTCTTAAAATGGATTTGAGAAACTACTAGGGCTCCCGTCTTCTCGGTTGGCACCTTCTCTCTCAATCAATAAACCTTTCTTTACTCCAAACTCTGACAATTTGACTTTTGGCTTTTTGAAGTGTTCAGCATTTGATCTATGGACCAGTAACAAGAAGACTATAAGGTGGCTGAATGAGCCCGGATGGTGTGGCTCAGTGGTTGAGCACCAACCTATGAAACAGGAAGTCACAGTTCGATTGCTGATCAGGGCACATGCTGGGTTGCAGGCTTGGTCCCCAGTGGGAGGCATGCAGGAGGCAGCCAAACATCTCATCATTGGTGTTTCTATCACTCTCTCCCTCTCCCTTTCCCTTCCTCTCTGAAATCAATAAAAATATATATTTTTTAAAAAGGTAGCTGAGGGAGTATTTAAGGTCTTACTACTCAACATATGTTGTTAGTTTGGCTCAAATAAACTCTAATAAAAATTTTTTTTAAAAAAGGTGGCTGAATGAGAGATTAGGGAGAAAACCTGGTAATCCTAATATAATTTTACAGATCATACCTGTTCTTTAGATCATCTACCATGCTTTTATTAGTATCAGAATAAATGATTTCTTCAGGCTGAAATAAAGACAACTGAAAGTTAGAGAAGATTCTAGGGAGACCAATTTTCCATCACAGTCACATCTGTAGTGCTAACTATAATGACAGGGAACCCAAACCTCTCTCATGTGGTGAAAAGCCAGAATCACAGAGGCACAAAGGTAACATAGATCACAGTATTTTCTTTGATTTTGTAACTACTTCATCAGAGCATAGGAGGGGAGATGGATTCACAAAATAGGTTTTTCATGGGTAAGACAAATCTGCTGCCCCCATTCATTTATTCCAACAAGCATTTGGCATGATTATTACTGATAATCTTTGGCAGCTGCACAGGTATCTTCCAATTATTAACTGTGACCTTGGTGAAGGTACTTAAGCTGTCTGAGTTTCAGTCACCATGTCTTTTTTTAAATTTTATTTAAAATCACTTCAAAATTTATTATTTATTTATTAAATTGATTGGGGTGATATGGTCAATATAAACATATAGGTTTCATGTGTGGATTTCTATGTTACAAAATCTATATATAGTACTGTGTGGCCACCACTCAAAGTCAAATCTTCTCCTGTCACCTCATATTAGGACCCTCTTCTTTAAAAGAGGGACAATAATAGTTCCTACTTCTCTGGGGGTTTGTGACAATTTTAAAATAAAGTAATACATGTAGAACCTGGCACATATTGCTCAATAAATATCAGATATTATTGTTATCAGTCCTTTAACATGGTTTATCATCTTTATTCTTTGTGTATTTGCTTCTTTCACCTGGCAAGAGCCAGGTTTTTGTGCGCGCGCGCGCACACACACACACACACACAGATACACAGTCCATTTCAATCTCCCCTGTCTCCAAACCGTTCCTCAGGCATCCCACCTATAGCAGAGAGCAATGCTCTACCATGTTTCCCCCACCAGTAGGATTTGCAGGGGGGAGGACAGGATTTCTCAAGTGTACCCCACCCCCACCCTAAACCCAGCTCTCCCCTCCCTGCAGGGCTCACATGGATTAGAGGAAAGTGCTGAATTTACAGTTTTTACTTTGGGTATTTCTGAGCTGAGACATGGAGGCAGATGGAGAGACAGGAACAGATGTTTCTCCCTCATGAGTGGAATGAAGGTTGTGATTTAAAAAGGGGGCAACACTTGTTAGGCCACTAGGTCCTAGAAAATTTCAGGAGTGATTTGAGAAGGCTCAGTCTGTCAGGTGATGATCTGAATTAGAGATTCAGATTCTCTGCCCCCACCTCAGACCCACTGAATCAGAAACTCTGAGGATAAGGCCCAGCAATTCGTGTTTCAACAAGCCCTCCAGGTGGTTCTGATGCCTGCCATGGTTGGAGAACCACTAGATGAGGAAATAGGGGAGGAACATGGCAGGAGATGGGAGAGACTGGAGAAAGTATGAAATCCAGCATCACCTTGCAGGGGCCACCAACTATTCCAGACAGGACAGGGGACTGAATTCCCTGATTGCTGTCACCAACCACTGTCTGCCCCTCCAACCCATGTCCCTCTCCCCACCCCCTCCTCCCTCTTTCCCAACCCCCAATCCAGGCAATTTATGGATTAGTTAGGTCCCCTTCAGACCTGGGAAAGAGGCCTGGGCTACATTGACTTGACAGATTTATGGGTGTTAATCCACTTTCTTTTTCTGGCAAAGACCCCTTTCTTTCAGGGAATTCATATCCTTTAAAACTTCAAGAAGACTTTCTTGTTAACTCATCTCTTAACCCCCACATCCTCATTATGCACACTCAAATTTGTGTTCTCAATTGTGATAATAAACATAGTGTTCACTATAGATAGGAGTATTGTGATGTGTGTGTGGTAAGGCAGAAGATCAAGGGCAAGAAATCAGTAGAGATTTAGGCAACTATGAGTTTTACATTTATCGATTCAACTTGCAAAAGGTTTAGATTCCTCTCTGAGGCAGAGTGGCTTTTAAAAACACAACTTTGATTATGGCAGCCCTTGCCTTGATAATGTTAATTTCTGATTGCCCTGAGGATAAAGGCCCAAATCCCTACCAGGACTCCGCTCACCCCTGAGCTCCTCTCTGCTCGCTCCCTGGCAGCAGCCAAGCTGGCCTTTCAGCTTCCTGACAGCGCCTAGCTACTGCACCTCTTCATGCCTGCTGTTCCTGCTCTCTGCGGGGACCATTCTCTTCCCTGATGGTTCTAGGCCAGCTCCTGCTCCCCCTTCCTCACTGTGCTGATCATCACTTCCCCGCCCCCCAGGAAGCCCCTGCACCTCTCCTTCCCATCAGGCCCCCTGCTATATGCCTTCCAATGCACATTCGTTTCTGTGATAGCACTTATCACTCTGCACCGAAAGTGCTCGTTTCCTGCTGTTTCTTTCTCTAGAACACGAGTCCCAAGAATACTGAGACATTTCTCCCTGTGGTAGCCATACCTAACATAGCGCTGGTTCATAGCAGGCATTCAACAAATATTACCTGAATGAATAATGGAATGATAAATAGTAATAAAAAAAAACCCCTCATCTCTAAATATATCATTCTCTCCTAGAAGACAATAAAGCCTCACTCACGGCATTGGGATGGGAAAAGCAAGATATGGCCTGTGGACGCTGTAAATGTGGTTTTCTCAAGAGAGATAAGCACATTTCCCCTCTTTAAAATAACTTTATAAACAGGAAATATATAAATATATGTGTATTTATACATATATACATATATAAAGCATATAAATATATGCTTGTAGCTGCATGGAGAATGTTTAGAAGGATGCACAATGGGAAAAAGATGTGGAAGGGGAGAGAAATTCATCTCTCTTTTTTTAAATTTGTTTTTTAATCTTCACTCGATAATATTTTTCCGTTGATTTTTAGAGAGAGTGGAAGAGAGAGGGAAAGAGAGAGAGAAATATTGATGTGAGAGAAACACATCAATAGGTTGCCTCCTGCACGCCCCCAACCAGGGCCTAGGGCAGTGATGGCGAACCTTTTGAGCTCAGCGTGTCAGCATTTTGAAAAACCCTAACTTAACTCTGGTGCAGTGTCACATATAGAAATATTTTGATATTTGCAACCATAGTAAAACAAAGATTTATATTTTTGATATTTATTTTATATATTTAAATGCCATTTAACAAATAAAAATCAACCAAAAAAAATGAGTTCGCGTGTCACCTCTGACACGCGTGTCATAGGTTCGCCATCACTGGCCTAGGGCCTTAGGACAAGGAGGAGCCTGCAACCAAAGTACGTGCCCTTGACTGGAATTGAACTCAGAACCCTTCGGTGCACAGGCCAAGTTTTATCCACTGAGCCAAACCAGATCGGGCGAAACTCATCACTTTGTATGCTTTGGTACTATTTGATCTTTTCCCCCAAACGACCATGAATTCTTTCTGATATTGTAAACTGTCTCAAATATACAGACAAGCACAGAGATTAATGTAATCTACATCCACACAACATACCTACAACCTAGTTTTATATAATCTTTTGCATTCCCTCATGTATGATTTAGATTTTTCAAAAAGAAGTAAAACAGTACAGATAAACTTGAAGTACTGTGTACCTCTCTCTGATTTCATTCCTTTTTTTATTTCCCCAAAAGGAACCTTTAAATTAAATTTGGTATTTATCTTTCTTATAAATGCTTTTATACTACTACTACATCTCTCTCTCTCTCTCTCTCTCTCTCTCTCTCTATATATATATATATATATATATATATATATAACATACAATTTTCAAACTTCAGGTAAATGGCTTTGTATTGTATGTGTCCTTTGACATCTTCTATATTTTGCTTAGTATTACATTTTTAATATTCATTCATGATGTACATGGCTCTGAGTCAGTGGTTCTGGTTGCACATTGGAATCACCTGGGAGCTTTATATAATACTGATGTGCAGGTTCTACCCTCCCTCAGAGATCCTGATGTAATGAATGTACGGTCAAGTTGGGAACTATTGTAAATTGGTTCATACATTCTTTTCCTGTTGTACAGAAGTTTTCATAGTATGAATACTTCACAACTCATATAGCGATTTTCTAGTTGATGAATTGTTTCCTTTTTTTCTATTTCAAGCGATTCTGTAATAAACACTGTTGTGCTTGTCTCCCTGATAAGTTCCTATAGGGTATATACTTAGAAGTTGAATTGGAGCAATCAAGGGTTGAGCATCTTCGACTTTTCAGATATCATATTGCTTTCTAAACTGCTTGTAGTAATGTATGCTGCACCACTTCTCTGCCTCTGCCAGCACTTGGTATGGTCACACTTAAAAATATTTTTGTCAAATTTATGCATGTTTTAAATTGTATTTCCCTGGTTATGGGCAAGGTAGAGCATTCAAGTTTCTGCTTCTATAAAATGTCTTCTGCCTATTGCTCTTTATCTCATCTCCCTCCCTCCCCCTGGGCTCATAACTCGTAGTTTTTGGATTTTTCACTTGCCTGCAGCCTGCTACACCGTGACCCTCAACCCTCAACCCTCAAACAGCTGTAGAGATGGACTTTGGGATACTGAGTATAAAGGGATACTGGGTATGTCACAGGTGTACTGGCTGACCCATCTGGTGATTGAGTCAGTTCCTGAACTTAGGTCTGTGCTTTGGTCTGCCTCCAAGACTCAGACAGTGAGTCTGCCACTTTCCTTCCCCATTTTTTCAAGATGGATGGCAGGGAAAACTCGATTTTATTAATATTGCCAAATAAGTCAATAAACAATCAGCTATATAAACATAACAAGAGCTGTCACAACTAGTAAAGATTAGAACCAAGGGTAACTTTGATACTGACACACCTGGAAAAATATGTTTACCTGTATGCTTTGTACTTGTGTCCCTTGAAAATTTTTTGGAAGCAGCTGTTTCCAGAAACTTTCCTTTGAATAGTCAAAATATACGGCCATTGGTGTACTATTTTGTTGAATATTAAACCAGACCTATTAAAACATTAACATAAAATCAGCACAGACCCCTGGGAGCCCAAAGCCCATGGCTGGTTAGGTGAAGCAAAATTTTACAGTCCTGCTACCCAGTGAAGTGGCAGAAGCCAAGGGAGGTTCTGAGGTAGAAGTTAAAGACATGCCAGGCTTACATGAGCATTAGACTGCTCACTGGTTCTCAACAGTGGAGACACTACAGAATTATAGGGTGGGAGCTTTAGGGGTAAAATATTTTCTTGGCCCCACAACCCAGGGATTCTAATTAAACTTTTATATATTATCAAAGTTCTTCATATGATTCCAATGGATAGCCAGGGTGGAGGATCACTGATTTGACTCAAGGAGATAGCTCAAAGTAAGATTTCTCCCCATTACTTACATTTCCATCATCAAACAAACAGTCTACACTTTGTAAAGGACAAAATGGGTCAAATTGCCTATGACATTGACCAGTTAATGGATTCCAAAGCAAATATTCATCAGTTTCATGAGTTAATACATAAGCTACACGCCCCTGTATGAGGAAAAGAAGGTAAAGTCATTTGGTTGAGTAATTAACATACTTTTTAATGTGAAAATTACTATGTAAGCATGTGACCTCGTTGATTTCTGAAAGCGTTTTCCAGGGCCTTTACAATTTTTTGGAAAGGAAAGAAGCCAGAGCTCCAAAAATCCTTAGGCCCAGGCTGGCATGAGGATGCAAATGACAGGACTTCTGAGCCAGTGCTGCCCTGTATGGTCCTGCAGGAGTTCCCTCACAGCGATTTCCCAACAGCTGGTCCGAAAGTATATGGGGGTTGGGACACTGTTGCCTAATTCACACGATGGTGCTATATGAACCAGCCCTGCTTTGAGTAGAATATACTTAGGAGACTAGGGGTGAGCACCAAGCAGAGTTAGGGAATAGAAACTGGCCTAAGGCTCTGAAAAAGCCAAGTGAAGTAAAAAAGCCATTAAATTAATTTTGAGAACAAGATCAGGAAACCATTTGAAGAATAAAAGTCATTATGTTACGATATTTCTCTGCACATACCTTTTGAAGTGACAATATTTCTTAGCAAAGAATAAAAATTTCAGGTAATAATAATAATGACTATTTTCCATTTATTGAGTATTTGTGTGCATCAAATAATCTACTCAGCATTATTTTAATTAACACTTTTCTTCTTTTGATTCACTCCAAATTCTGTGAGGTAGGGATGATTATTATACTATTTTTCAGATAAAAATCAGAGGTTAAGGAGCTTGTCTAGGGAAACAGTAGTGGTATTATTCCTGTTTGGGGAAGAAATAACTGAATCTCAGAAAGTAGCAAAGGATGAGATCTCACACTTAGTAAATGGCATTACTGAGTTTTAAAACCCTCTCTGACCAGCCCCCCAAACCCATACTCTTAACACTGCACTGTATAGCCTTGTTTCCCTGACTTCAAAGCTCTTGTTCTTTATGACTGTGTGCGTCTCCTTTACAGTGAAAAGGAGGCTTCACCTCAACCACAGAGCTGAGTGGTGCCACCCATGATATTGACTCAGGTCTAAAAGCAATCGTTGGCTGAAATACTGTTTATTGTTTGTTGCCATCTAGCGGCACTTAGAGCAACAACAGGAACATATGGGGAAATTAACCATAGGCTTTTAGCTAACACAATCGTGACACAGAAATAAGCTGTCAAGGGAATATAGAGAAATATGTGATCATGAAAAAACCCCAAACAAAACCAACAACCATAAAACAAGACTGGAAATTTTGACACTGATGAATATATTCAGCTTGAAGTAGAAACAGTTAGAATGAAGACAGCTTTCTGGAGGTATGAATACAGTATATAATTAAGTTGTAAAAATTTCAGATATGAACATGAATTTCTGGCCCATTTGTACAAGTAAAAACTGAGCAATGGAGAATAGGGAGAGGTATTTCTTAAGGATCTTAAAATATAATATTAGAAACATCTGAAGATAATGGTGGTGATAGTGGTTAACAACCACTACAACTACTACTGTAACTATTGCTACATCACCACCACCACCGCTACTGAGCACTCACCATGAGTAAGTGCTCTCCCAGTGCTATATATTTACTATGTGATTTAATATTTCTAGTAACCCCATGAAGTAGTACTATTATTAGAGAAGAAAAACAAAAGGAAGTCATCCTTTATACTGTAGAACTTTTGATGAACCAACGTTATCCTCTTAAATAATTGCTTGCCCACAAAATTCCTTAATTAGCTTGTGAAAAGATGGAAAACTGGGGCTGCAGTCTTTTAAACTTGCAGCTGATAGCTAATTCTTTTTACTTACAGTATTTAAATATTAACTCCAGCACTCACTTCTAAAATTGAGGTTCCCAGGAGGACCAAAGCTTTCTTTCCGAAGTACAAAAAGAAATTACAGAGAAGTATGGCATGCTCCTCCTTATTCCCAATAGCCAAACTGATGCAGCGCTAAGGCAAAACAAAAGTAACAAGAACAACAACAAAAAGGTGAGGGAGAGAAAGGTGAGTAATGCAATTAATACTAGGACAACTGCAAAGCTGAAAGCTCCGGCACCATTTGCCTGCTAAAACACTAGGGCCCTGGTCGGCAAACTGCAGCTCGCGAGCCACATGCGGTTCTTTGGCCCCTTGAGTGTGGCTCTTCACACGAAAATACCACGTGCGGGCACGCACGTACAATGCGATTGAAATTTCGTGGCCCATGCGCAGAAGTCGGAGAAAGCTGAGTAATGCAATAAATATTAGGACAACTGCAAAGCTGAAAGCTCCGGCACCATTTGCCTGATAAAACACTAAGGCATTAGGAGGAGAGAACGTTAACTTGGAACATAGGGGCAAGGAGCACTTGGTAGTATTTGCTTGAATAGTTATTTTTAGTTATATTAGAGGCTCTCTTTCAATGTTCTTCAGGACCATAATATCCCTGAACACATTCTGATTAGTTCAAAGAGTCTCAGAAGAGTCTGGAGTTAATGACACCTCTTTGAGTTCTAAGAGGTTGGAATCACTGAATCACTAGGACCACATGCTTGTGTCTCCCTGGTTATCACTAAGCCAAAGACTGAGTAACCTACCTATGAAGTTAACCCTGTGCCCCCTAAATCAAATTCAGCTCAAATCTAGCCCCTAAAACATTCTAGGTACGTTCTAGGACTATCAGTTCCAGATGGAAAGTGCCTCTCTCTTAGGCTCCCATTGTACTAATATTTTCCACTTAAAATATTTATGGGATGCTTGTGAAATTTAAAGCAGTGTATAAATGATAAATATAAAAATAAATAAGAATAAAGTCTTCTTGTTAACTCAAGGAGATTAACTTGGGATGTATATGTACAGAGTATGGGTGTTGGGTCAATCTAAAAGCAACTAAATATTATGTAAGATGGAATAGAAGAAGTGCTCTAACTAAGGTTGCCAGATTTTGAAAGGAAAATAGAAAGCCCAACTCTAAATTTGAATTTCAGATAAACAAATATTTTAGTATAAATACCCCCCCAAAATTGCATGGTGCTTGTATTTTAGTTGGCGAGCAATCTAAAGAGAACTTTAATCCAGGTGCTAAGAAAGAGCATTGCTATACCAGCTCTTCATTCAGATGTGGGGAGACTGGGAAACCTGGGAAGTAGTGGCATTTGCCCTAGACATCAGGATCCATAGTGACAAGCCACATTTATCTCTGGAGACTGTCATAATATTGTACTCCGGAAATTTCAATTCCATCAAAATATTCATGATCTACCACTTGTAACACTGAGTAAGATTTTTGGTTTTTCAGAATTATTTCTATAAGTTGTTACTAGAACTGAAAATTATTTATTAAATTATCAAATGATTTTAAATTTCATAAGGCAAAATACTACATTATAATAAACAGGTTTCTTTAAAAGAAAAGCAAATAAGGAATACTATAAATTTTAATTATAAAATGTCATTTGTTACCTCTGATGTCATCCATATATCAAAACCATCATTTTCATCCAGGTCAGGCATAAGAGGAATCAAAGATACAAAATGAGCAATGAGGTCCTAGAATAATATTAAATAACATTTACTGAGTGCATACTATATGCCCATCATAATGCTTTCTATGCATTATCATTACATTTAGTGTATCTTATGAAATAAATACTATTATTATTTTTGTTTTACAGAAGAGGCTAGGGTAACTTGCTCAGAGTCACACAGCTAACATTATATATGGGACCTCTAGGAATAAGCCCAAATTGGCCTGACTCCAGAGTATGCCTGTTAACCATTGCATTTCACTGTAATAAATTCTTACAATTTTAAACATGCTACATTACATATATACTTTAGAATATACCTTAAAATTGACAAAATATGTTGAAGAATAGCATAAGTTTGATTTGCTTTCAGGTTCAAAATCAGAATTATTTTAATTAACATAAGCTGTTATGAGCTGCTGTAGCAGGAAGATATTGGTATAGTCTGCTTTCTCAAACAACAGAAATTATACTGTTAATTGTTCCCCCCGCCCTCCCCCCCAGACTAGAGAGACAAGGATTCAGGCTTTTAAAGTCGTAGAGGAGAAAAAGATACAAATAAATAACGAGTTAACAGAGAAAATTCACTAACATTTTCATTAATTTACAATAGCCACCATTTATGATCTATTATCACCTCCTATACCCTAATGGTTCATAGTCTGTGACAAGCAAAGGAGCTAGGATTTACATATTTTTGAAAATATACACAAATGCCCTAGCAGTGCTCTTTCTTCGGTTAGAGCATTGGCCCCAAGGACTGAAGGGTTCTGGTTTGATTCCAGTCAAGTGCACATACCTGGGTTGAAGGCTCCATTCCCGGCTCTCGAAGGGGCACATGCAGGAGAGGCAACCAATCAATGCGTCTCTCTCACATCAATGTTTCTCTCTGTCTCTACCCCTCCCATCCTCCTAAAAATCCATGGAAAAAAATATCCTTGAGTAAGGATTAACAAAAATAAATAAATAAAAGCACACACAAATATTGTCTTTGCAGTAAGTCTAAGAGCACTCCTTGGACTTTGGGTGTCAGGAAACATAGGTAGGAAGAAACTCAGGATGGAAAAGCAGAGTGTAATAAAAGGCAACCTAAATTAGAAATTTTATTTTAGCTTAAAGAGTCCAGCTAAAGGAGTTTTATACTGGTCAAACAAATATTCTGAGGAGAGCCAATTGACTCAATCCAACCAGAATAAACAAAAGGTGTGATTTTTCATACACGCCTTTTAATCAAAGCTTACTTTTTTCTTAAAGGGGAGACTTATACTTCTGACTTCTTATTTTCCTTTCTCAAAGTGGAAGAAGCTATATCCTCTTCATTTTATATAAAATTAAATGTTGAATATATTTCTCTTTTGTCAGCTGGTAAATAGATGGGCATAAGTCACAAGGGGGTGGGGTGGAAAGTGTTATGTTGGCAGTTTATATAGAACTAGAGGCCCAGTGCACAAAAATTTGTGCACTCGGGGGGGGGGGGAAGGGGGGGTCCCTCAGCCCGGCCTGTGCCCTCTCGCAGTCTGGGACCCCTTGGGAGATAACGACCTGCTGGCTTAGGCCTGCTCCTGGGTAGCAGAGGGCAGGCCCAATCCCTAGGTGCAGCCCCTGGTCGGGCTCAGAGCAGGGCTGACTGGGGAGTTGGGGCGCCGCCCCCTGTCACTCACAGAGCAGGGCCAATCAGGGGGTTGGGGCGCTGACCCCTGTCCCTCACAGAGCAGGGCCCATCAGGGGGGTTGGGGATCCGTACCCTGTCACACACAGAGCAGGGCCCATCAGGGGGTTGGGGAGCTCCCCCCTGTCACGCACAGAGTAGGGCCGGTAAGGGAGTTGCGGCACCACCCCCTGTCACACACAGAGTAGGGCAAATCAGGGGGTTGGGGCACTGCACCCTGTCACACTCAGGGCAGGGCCAATGGGGAGGTTATGGCTCTACCCTGTCACACACAGAGCAGGGCCCATTGGGGCAGGGGGGGGTTGGGGCGCCACACCCTGTCACACACAGAGCAGGGCCGATCAGGGGATTGGGGAGCTCCCCCCTATCAGGCACAGAGCAGGGCCCGTGGGGGGTGGGGTGGGTTGGGGCGCCACACCCTGTCAAACACAGAGCCGCAGGGCGATCAGGGGGTTGGGGAGCTCCCCCCTATCAGGCACAGAGCAGGGCTGATCAGGGGGTTGGGGCGCCTTCCCCTGTCACGAACAGAGCAGGGCAGATAGGGAGGTTGTGGCCCCACCCCCTGTAACACACAGAGCCGCAGGGCGATCAGGGTGTTTGGGTGCTGCCCCCTGTCATGCTGATCCCGGTGCCGGGAGCTTCGCTGCTCCGCTGATCCCGGTGCCGGGAGGCATATTACCCTTTTACTATATAGAATAGAGGCCTGGTGCACGGGTGGGGGCCGGCTGGTTTGCCCTGAAGGGTGTCCTGGATCAGGGTGGGGGTCCCCACTGGGGTCCTGGCCAGTCTGGGTGAGGGGCTGAGGGCTGTTTTCCCGCTGGCAAGTGACTAAAGCTTCCAACCGCTCCTTGTTTTCTTTCTTTTTTTTATTTTTTATTCTGGGCCAGCTTTAGTTCTGAGGCCTCGCTGCTGAAAACATGGATACAATGTTTCGGTCCGGCTGGGTTTCAGTCCCGCAGGTTTCTGGAGTTTTGTTTAGCTTCTTATTTGCAACATAGTATATAGTTGCTTAGAGTTGTAGCTCAGAGGCCGGCAAGTGAGGCGGGGAACGTTGGAGTCCGCAGCAAGCAAGCCTCCCTGCTCGCTTCAGTGCCTGGCTGCCAGCCGCCATCTTGGCTGACAGTTAATTTGCATCTACTCACTGATTAGCCAATGAAAAGGGTAGCGGTCGTACGCCAATTACCATGTTTCTCTTTTATTAGTGTAGATAATATAGTTTTCTTCATTCCCACAAACAATGAGAAGCAATCCTTAGAAGAACACTATCCCTTTCGGTACATAACTTTTTATTTTGCCTCGAAGTCAAAGAAATTTTTGTGTCATTTTTCCAAGTTTGATAGGAAAGTTGTGAAGCCAGTATGGTCACGTGAAGTGGTGTAGCAACAGTGCCCCTCTAGTCCAAGTGGGCAGAAATGAAGGGGGGCAGAGAGGTCTTCCATCTGGGGCTCAGGAGGACACATTGCAACATAGATGGTTTTTCTCTTATGAGCTATCTTTGGGGTTTTTGTGTTGTTCTTTTTTTTACATATTTTTATTGATTTTAGAAAGAAAGGGAGAGGGAGAGAGAGAAACATCAATGATGTGAGAGGATCATTAATTGGCTGCCTCCTACACACTGCACACTGGGAATCGAGCCTGCAACCCAGGCATGTGCCCTGACCAGGAATTGACTCCTGGTTCATAGGTCGATGCTCAACCACTGAACCATAATGGCTGGGCTGAAACTGTCTTTGAAGGCAAAACAATTTTAGTAACAAACTTATCCTAAAAATTAATATTAAAAAATAAACAAGTTAAAAAATATAAATTTGGAGTGATAAAAATACCTAAAATTTACTCTGGAGATGGTTGCACAATTCTGGGAAGATACTAAAAATCATTGAATTGAACACTTTAGATGGGTTAATTATATGGTACGTGATTTATATCTTAATAAAACGACTAAAATAAATATAACTTACAAGTGTTGCATTGGAATCACGAAGAAATATATCCAGGAGTTGTTGAGGTGGATTTAATGCCTTGATATATCTTGTTACTAAGATTTGTATCCCGTCATGATTAAAAACAGTTGTTGTGATTCTTCGGTTGGGAAATACTGCCTTACAATTTTTTGCAAAAATGTGTGCTCTCTCCAAAACATCTATTTGATCTGAAAACTAAAATCAAGTTTAAAATATTTCAATATTGTACCATACATATTGTTCCCACAGGGAAATATTAAGAACCAATATTTGTTTTTTTGCTAGCTTTGAAATTATTGTTATTGGTTTTTTAAATACTTTACGCTTCTTTGATAGTATATGTAAAAATAATTCAAAGTAAAACATACCTTGTCTAGTTCTGGATTACAGGTGACATATGATATTTGAGGTTCAATGGTAGCAAAAATATTTAAAAAGGTACATTCTTTTAAATTCTGCACATTATGATCTTCTTTAGGAGATGTAGAAGTCTTACTCCAAGTATACCCAAGCAAAACTGGTGGAATGTTTACTTGGAATGTTCCATTAATCTGAAAGGATATATCAATATAATAGATTCTGCACGATGAAAATAAACACCAGTCAAATATACTATAGCCCAGCTCAGTCTTCTCCACAGGAGGAAACAGGCTTGCATGGGTATGTGCTGGTTCTACTAATATGTACTTGTACAAGGATGATCAGGTTCTCCATGGCGATCTGTTCACGGACACCCTTGACATTCTGGGTCCCAGTCTAGTATGTACTATGCAAAGAGGGCAGGAGTAAGAAAGGGATGAAATGAGGAAGTTACTGTATCAGAGTATTAAAAACTCTAAAAAAAATCTAATTCAGGCTCAGAGAAAATGCTAAAAGACAATGTTACATTTTTCATTGGGTCTAGAAAGAGAAAAAACCTATAGGTCCACAGGAGGAGGGTGTGTGTGTATGTGTGTGTGTGTATAGAGGAGCTAATTTACAATCATAATAACTAATAATCATAGTTAATAGTTATTGAGCACTTACTATGTGCAAGGCACTGTGCCAAGTGTTTGATATAGATGACATCATTCAATGAGATAGATACAGCTCTTCTATTTTGTAGATAAGGAAACGGAGGCCCAAAGAATTTACGTCACTTATTTAAGATCACAACACAACTGATGAGTAATAGAGCCAGGAATACAACTCAGGTTTGTCCACCTTTGAAGCTCACATTCTGAACCACCTCTCTATCCTGGAGTCTGGCCTGAGACTGAGAAACATCTGCAGGGATTTATGAGTGTAGGAAGCCATGTTCCTCCCAATAACTTAAATCTCTGTTGCTCTTTATCTGCAGCATAAATTTGCAGCATGCTCCCTCGTATTATGCAGACATTTCTTCTCTCCTCCCTAACATCCATTCTCTTCTCCTTTCTTACCAACAGTTCTAGGTGGCAACATGACAAGTGGTCAAGTCACATCAACAAAATAAAGAAGTCTGCCAGGATTTTCTGGTGAAGCGTCTGTTTTACTAATACGGGCACTGCCACTTCGTGCTTCACCCTGACTCCTGTCTGCATCATGAATATGAGGCTGGAGGTGCAGTGAACGATCTGCAGTTATAAGGATGCAAGCCACATGATAAGGACAGTGGAACAGAAACACAAAAGCAACTTGGATTCTTGAGCTGCTGCTCTGACACCTAGACTTCTTTTTGGGCGAAATAAATAGACCCGTTACATCAGCCACTGTTAGGTTTTCTGTGGCATAGGATCACACATAATTAATACACATAGAAATCCTTGAGTCAAATGCCCTTGTTTGCTTGACAAACTCATTTTTAGGACTCGCTTCAAAAGTTATCTCCTCTGTAAATACTCCCCTGATCTTTCATTCTCCTCCTCATTCTCCTCTTACCCACCCGACCCCTCTGAACAACCCCTTCTTCCTGCTCCAAACCAGAAAGAGTAAGGTGCTCCCTACTGTCTCATTGTACCTATCTCATGCCCCTACCAAAGCCCTACGGCAGTATCAGGTTGTACTGAAATGTTAGTTTTCTTCTATAGACAGTGAACTCCACTAAGATAGAGAAATCATTTCTGAATCTTCTATATCTTGCATAGCTCTGTAAGTAAGTAACAGAGCTCCAAACAGAGTCTAGGCTGGAGTTTTTATATTTTGCTGGTCAGGTAGGCATATTCTTGCTACATAACCCATCAGCAGGGCCCTCTGGGAATATAACAGAGACACCTACCAAGCATCAGTCTCACCATTAATGATACACAATGCTGCGGAACTGAAGCTCCTGGAACCCATGCTTACAAAGCAGCAGCACTGATCAGAACATTTGTGAATCTGGTCCTATAAAACTATTACATGCAAATATATGTTGCTTTAAGACCTAAGGCTAGCTGTCCCAGTCTTTATCAATACACTCTTTAAAGCTTTAAGAAATAAATTTGTGTCTTCTGTTCTAGAGACAGTTAAAACTTTCACACACTCCAACACCCCAATGGCTCTCAAATACAAGATCACTTTAACTGACCTAACAACCTGCCAATCACAGAATCTGATTCCCACTCCCCACCCCCCATCAGTAAATGTTTCTATTGGTGAGAGGTAAAAACTTAGAAAATTAGCAAACAATCATTTTCTATTACCTCAGATTGTTGCAGAAGAGCAGAGAAAGGGAAGACAATGGATCCAAGCCAATTCTTTCTTACATATGAATGACCACTGCAGCTCCTGAAACAGTGATCCTGTTAAAATATTTTATATGATGTGATGAATAATTCAAAAACTTGTAAGTATAAATCATTCTCTTTCTTTTAAAAAATCAAACAAAGAGTAAATAGAAAAGATCTTTTTCTCACTTTTTGCTTTCTTTAAAAATTAAAGCAAAATAATGACCTGTTGTGGAGTTTATGACATATATATGGCTATTTACATTTTTAATGCAATATTTTTATTATAATAGATATACTCAGGGCAGCAAACTTAAAAAAAAATTCACTAAAGAATATAAAAAAATTGAGGGTGGTGACCTGCAGGAGGCAGCAATCCTGGTTGGCATTAGTGTGAACATCTTCATACTGAATGGGAGGCTGCAACTCCCTCATGCACTTGCTCTTTAATCTAGGGGACTGTTTTTGAACTTGAAGTTGAATTCAGAGAGGAAGGGAGAGGGAGAGAGATAGAAACATCAATGATGAGAGAGAATTATTGATTGGCTACCTCCTGCACGTGCCCTACTGGGGATTGAGCCCGAAACCCAGGCATATGCCCTGACCGGGAATCAAACCATCACCTCCTGGTTCATAGGTCAATGCTCAACCAATGAGCCACACTGGCTGGGCTGTCATATATTAATTGATCAAAAAGGCATGAGTTTATTTCTGGGCTCTCTATTCTGTTCCATTGATCTATACTGTATGTCTGTTCTTATGCCAGTACCATGCTGTTTTGATTACTATGGCCTGTAGTATAATTTGATATCAGGTAGCATGATTCCTCCAACTTTGTTCTTCTTTCTCAAGATTGCTGTGGCTATTCTGGGTCTTTTGTGGTTCCATATAAATTTTTGGACTATTAATTCTAGTTCTGTGAAATATGCCATTGGCATCTTGATAGGAATTGCATCAAGATCTGCTTCAACTTCTCTGAGCCTAATCCCCAATCCCTCCATGTAGAATTAATTGCTCCTTCAATAGTGTTGCCATATAATTTTCTAGACATTTATATTCAAGTATTTAATCAGAGCCCCAAGAGAGAGGGTATAATGGATATGCATCTTTATACTTTTAGTGTCAACTTCAGTAGGATGGAAATTAACATTTATTTTAGAGCTTGCTATGGTACTAGGCACAGTGTTAGGAACTTTCTGATATCTATGAGGAAGACATTCATAACTTTTAATGTCAGATTGAAGAGAACTGGGTTTTAGGAATCATTTGCTATTTTTTATAGAAGGGGTATATTTTCTTTGATCAGATGGTGGAAAATATATAACCCATTTTTGCTTATCTTTCTATCTTGGCTACCAGGAAGCTCACATTTTAATGTAATGTTCAATTGCAGAAATCTACTTCTCCCAAATTCTTGTTACATTTATCCCTTTTCCTTCTATATATGGTTTGTGATCTGTTATTTTTGAACTGTCTTGTCATATGTCTGATTTTATTCCAAGCTGCTCTAAATACTTTTTAGAAATGTTAGAAATAAATATTGCATCTAAAAGCAAATTTACAAATATGTTACTAGACTTCATTCAGTCAGAACTTAGAATTATTTCAGCATAATTATAATTGTTGTACTTTACCTCATGTTTTTCAAAAATCATTTCATCAAAAATGTTGATATATATATTATCTTTTATTTTAGATAAACTTGAGAAGCTATAATCATGTCCTGGTGAGCTATAAATAAGAAAAACTTATTTAGATGCTTAATTTATTTTATAAGAGCATTATTCATAAAGTACTATTAAATCACCTGTGTTCTTTTCTGTTATAACATGTAAACTAAGAAAAAACTATGTGCTTTTAAGACATCTGCTATCTTCATTAAAGCCAGTACATGCTTTGTTATTTATCTTTTTTATCTCTTAAAGTAACTGAGTGAAGAATAAAAATGTTGAAATGTCAAGCAGAAAGACTTCCTAGTAGAGGCATCCACTGCAAACAAATTATCTGAAGTATGGTGCATTAAGATTTTCCAACTAGCCCTGGTGGGGTGGCTCAGTTGGAGCATTGTCCCATACACCAAAAAGTTTGCAGGTTTGATCCCCAATTGGGGCACGTACAGGAGGTAACTGATCTCTCTCTCTCTCTCTCTCTCTCTCTCTCATCTCTCTCTCTCTCTCTCCCCTAAGCTTATTCCCTTTCCCATATTTATTTTCTCCAACCAGAAACTGGGATAGTGGGGTGCATTTAATTTTTCAAACTGTCTGCGGATGGCTTACTTGATTGGAGAAATTTTTGGAGGTAGCTGAAAGAATAATGTAGTATATCACAAGCACTGAACTTTCACTATCAGCTCCAGCCTATACATCAAATCTCAAACTTCTAACAGCTCAGAGAAGTTAAATAACTTGCTCAAGCTAATGTCATCAGCAAGTGACAGAGCCCTCATCTGAACCCAATTAACTGCCTCAAAGGCCAGGATCTTTTCACGATACCAACTGCCACTGACATTATTTGTTGAAGCTTGTTGCTTAAGAAAACAGCTACTATTTCAAAGGATCTCCAATAGCTTGTATAACTTTCTGAGACCTACAGATACACTGACAACTGGAAAATGTTCATTGAGTTTAGAGAATAATTTTAAAGTTGAATGTTCCTTATATTTCTAAGTGATAAGCTGACTTCCTTACCCTGCTCCTTCAAGAGTTTCCTTTCATGTTGCAACATCTAAGACAGGGTAGAAAAGGCAATGCATACTTATTATACTACTAGAGGCCCGGTGCACGAAATTGGTGCATGGGTAGGGTCCCTGGGCATGGCCTTCCTTCCCCCGGCTGCTGGCTGCCAGCTGCCAGCTGCCAGCTGGGGCCTTCCTTCGTTCCATACCACCCCCTGGTGGTCAGCGCACATCATAGCGAGTGGTCGAACTTCCATTGGTCAAACTCCCGAGGGGACAATTTGCATATTAGCCTTTTATTATATAAGATATTAGCAGAAGAGATGATAACTGTCATCCTCAAGACACTTTGGAGTGTGTCAACTTAGTATGTCCTTTAAATCACTCAAGTCCTACACTATCTTGCATTTTGTATTCTATTCAAACTTTCCTCAAATTTCACAATTTCTCCTCCAAAGTAGAGCTCACAAGGCTAATTACTATTTATTTATTATTACTATCTACCCCATTTGTACATGATTTTTATTCATTAAAATGTCATGTGGAGAAGAGAATGGAGTATCTGAGGCAATGAATAATGGTAGTTGAATGGCTTTGGCTTAGCTGAACCCTCTGATCTACCTTGTTGTGCTCTAAATGTGTTCTTGGCTTATTTCACTGCTATAATTTCAAGAATGCAACTACTCTACAGCATTTACGTATAAGATTATCTTATTGACTATTTCATGTTATCCTAAATCTATTTATTTAATACAGTATATTTCTTCTAACTCTAATGTCTAATACACAAATATTTCTACATTACAACCAAATTTTATACCTTTACAAACTTTTAAACCAAAATATACTTTTATATACTAATTACTTAACATAATATTATACAATATAATATATTTATTTCCCTTTCAATTAATACTCCCTTTCACATTCAAACAGTAAGAAAGGTCAGGTAAACAGATATCAGACACAAGGCATAAATACCTAATTTATAGTTTTTACCTCTGGAGGGAGAGAAGGAAGATATAATTAGTAATTGGCATAGAGAAGCCTTCAAAAATATTGGCAATATCTACTTTTTAAGATGGAAGGTAGATATACAGGTGTTCATTTTATCATTTTTCCTGAGAACTTATATTTATATATACATCATATATATTAATATCTATGTAAGAGATATTTCATTATTTAAAAGCCTAAAAAGCAAAGCTTATCTCAACCATTATTTTTAATAAATGGCTCAAAAATAATTATTTATTGTTCTTTTTTTAGGAGCTAAGAAAAAATGGACTCCAACTTACACAAAATCTACTTTAATTTCCTCATTCCAGCATGGATGAGATCCACTTGCAGTACTGGTTTGGTATACAGTGTGTTGAAAGGAAACTTCCACAAAAGGGTGTACAGTATCCTGAAATACATAATAAACAATGACTAGATTTTTGTACTATTTTATATAGTTGATAAAAGATAAAAAGCTAAGGAATTACTTGGTTGCTGGTTGAAAACTGGATGCTTACTTATTCTAGTGTTTCAGATAACTATTATTCACTCATTCACTTACTAATCATTTATTGGTCCTATTTAATATAGATACTTTTCTAAGATAAATAGCCAGTATGGCTGGGTGGTTAGAGTGTCAGCCCACACATGGAGGGTCTCAGGTTCCATTCCCAGTCAAGGACACATGCCTGGGTTGCAGGTTCAATCCCCATCCCCAGTCAGAGTGCGTGTAGAAGGCAACCAATCAATGTCTCTCTCCCACAATAGTCTCTCTCTCCCCCTTCCTTCCTCCCTCCTTCCCTTCCTTCTACTCTCTTTAAAAAAAATCAATGGAAAAAATTTCCTCGGGTGAGAATTAACAAAAAAAGATAAATGGAACTTTGCTTTATAGATTTTATAGCTTACTAGAGGCCCGGTGCATGAAATTCGTGCACTCAGGAGCGGGGGGGTCCCTTATCCTGGCCTGTGCCCTCTTGCAGTCCGAGAGCCTTTGGGGGATGTCGGACTGACAGTTAGGGAGCGGGCCTAAGCCATCAGTTGGACATCCTTAGTGCTGCCTCAGAGGTGGGAGAGGGTCCCGCCACCACCGCTGCACTTACCATCCGTGAGCCTGGCTTCTGGCTGAGTGGTGCTCCCCCTGCAGGAGCACACTGACCACCAGGGGGAAGCTCCTGCATTAAGCATCTGCCCCCTGGTAGTCAGTGCATGTCATAGCGACCGGTCGTTCCGCCATCAAGCCAAAACCAGCTCTCCGACATCCTCCAAGGGTCCCATATTGCGTGAGGGTGCAGGCCAGGCTGAGGGATCTCACTGGTGCACCATCGGGGCTGGGGAGATGCGGGAGGTTGGCCGGCTGGGGAGGGACCGCAGGAGGGCCAGTCCGGCCTGTCTCACTCAGTCCTGATCAGCTGGCCCCCAGCAGCAAGTAAACCTACTGGTCAGAGCATCTGCCCCCTGATGGTCAGTGCATGTCATAGCGACTGGTTGACTAGCTGACTGACTGCCCCCTGATGGTCAGGGCATGTCATAGCAACTGGTTGACTAGTTGACTGTCTGCCCCCTGATGGTCAGTGCATGTCATAGTGAGCAGTTGAGCGGCCTTAGCATATCATTAGCATATTATGCTTTGATTGGTTGAACAGCCAACTGGACGACTGGACACTTAGCATATTAGGCTTTTACTATATAAGATTAGGGGAAATAAACAGGTAAATAAATAATTGCAATGAAATGTGAGAAATAAAATAAAAATATATTCCAGGTATAATAGTTACTCAGGAGAGGGCATGATTAAATTTCTGGGGGTGAGGACAGGAGCTTCACAGAGAAAACACTGCTTGAGCCTGAGCTTAGACACATTAAGCAGTGATGTGGCCAATAATACTGAGCTGGGTGGAGGCCACTGCAGGCTAATGAAAGGGCATGTACATAGGCTTTCTAGAACAGGTGGTAGTCTGATACTGCTGTTGGGTGGAAAGAGATGGGATTTGGCTGACTTGTAGGTAAGGGCCACATCATTACAGATTTTTGTAGGCATTCTAAGGAGCTTGTACTGTATTCTAAAGACCCTGAGAGCAGGGGAGCAAGGAATGAAAGGGTTAGAATTACATTTTATAAAGAGTATCTTCATTGTGTTATGGAAAGTAAACTGGAATCCCAACAGATTAGAGACAGAGAAACCAGTAGCAATTCAGGGCAAGCCATTGGAACTACACTTTATAAAAGTACTAAATACTTAACTCATATAAGATCTCTTCTGAGGCCACTGATTTGATTGTTTCTTTATGTCTGAGGCAAGATATGGATGATATCAGAGAAGTAGATATATCCAAGGGCCTTCTAGAAAAACAATAGAGAGATATCAGTTAGTTTTGGTGGGAGTAGCAGATTTTTGCCTATGCTTATGGACACATATAATCCAGTTACCTGGATTTGACAGTTTGCTTTGATATTCAGATCATAGGTGGTTAGAGCTAAATCCCTGATAATGGCTGCTCTAAAGGAGCGGCTCCTAAATGCTGAAAAATGGACTGGATCCAGTCTATGATAAAGTTTTCCTCAGCAAAAGGAGAAAAATAAGACAAATGATACGTCAAGATGATATCCTTCCTTATTTTTGGTGTTGCAACATTCTTTCTTTTACGAATTGATGATTATAGGAAATGGTGATGATGTTATGATGTGATTTTACAAGCAGCCTTTGAAATGTGCATTGTTTTGAGAATATCAATTCTATAAATAAATAAGGTTGAATATAAAAATAGGCAAAACATAAAGAGTTTTTAACTATAGATTAGTAGCTTGTTAGTTTATACTTGTTGTTCATATGCAAAATTCATAGGATGGGGTAAACATGAGATAAGCAAGTAGAGTGTAGAGCAAGCATGTCAAACTCAGGGCTAACACAGGCCAAATAAACAAGGTTTAAGTTTATGTAGGCTGCAAAAAACCAAAAGCTTCAATTTTCATAGAAATGTAGGTTTATTTCGATAGAAATATGCTGAATACAAAGGGCTGAAATAAATGAGTAATCGTTAACATAAAATAATAGAACACTTTAATAAAAATTAATATTTTTTTTCTTGAACATTAACTTACCAGACACTGAATAACTGCACAACTTTATATTGGCTGGGCCGCAAAAATATTCGTTGTGGGCCGCATGCGGCCCATGAGTTTGACATGCTTGGTGTAGAGCATATATGTGTGAAATATTGATAGAGAGGTATACTTAATATTCCTGAGGTACCTGGGTACTAAATAGCCACATACGAACCACACACCAGATTAAATAGATAAGAGGCACTCAATATTCAGGATGCCTTACTTTGGTATCGCTCAATTGTGATACCCACTCTGGCCCCACATATCCTCTACACCAGAAACACAAATAAAGCCCCTGAGCACCTGCAGAAAAGATGGGTAAGACCTGATTTTTGCAGAAGTCATCTAATATGACAAGTCTAAAACAGACTCTACTCTCTCCAGTGTTTTAATTCCAATACTGAGAGGGGCCAGTGGCAGAGAATAGTGTAGTTGGCAACAGTGGCTTCCCAACTCTTCACAATAGGGAATAGAGATAAAAGGCAAGATATACTTTGGGCATCTCAAACTTGTAAAAACTCTTATTAATACATGGCAATGACAATAAGCTTGCCTATCCAAATGAAGACAAACTTTCACTCAGTTTCTGTATATGGAGCATTAATAAAGTGCAAAGATATGCTAATTGGACAGTGTGGAAATTTACATTTAATACAGATCTTATGTAACCTTAAAAATTGGTGCATATGGCCTTACCTGTGAACTGTTGTTTTCCTGCTGGGAATATTATAAGCCCTCAGGATTCTGACAAGAATCTTAATATCTCCATCACAGATCGTCTGTGCTGCCACTTTTTTCCTTTCTTTCCTCTGAGGCTTTAACTTTCTTTGTCGTTCAACAAGCTTACAAATTGCATGCGTCAACTGGCTAAAGAGTAAACGTGATCAGCCACATATATACAAGATAACTTAGTTTTAAAAGATATCCATTTTTTAAATTAATTATTGTAAATAAAACCATTATTGTAAGCCATATTTTCTCCATTGTGGAGAGGAGACAGTTGTTTTAAACTCAAGGAAGAAATCATTTTCTGAGCATAGAGGAGATGTTATGTTCACTCTTATGTTAAGAGGGAATGTGATTGCTCCATGCCCTTTGGGTACATGACCCAACAAGGGACAAGGGCAGGATAGGTAATTCCATGAAACATGATATTCTTTCAGAATTTATTTTTATTTTTTTTTTTTAAAGAATCATTCTCTTAAAAGTGGTTAGAAACTCAGCTTTTCTACATGAATCTGAAAGAGTAGTTACATATGCTGTCAGCCCTGGTAACAAATCCATGAAATTATAGCTCTATGGTCACACCCATTTCCCCCAAAGACTGAAAATAAAACACAATAGATTTCAGCATCCTAAACCAATGAACCCCTTATTGGTAATACCATGAACCTGCAAGTGGCCCCAGTGTGGTTTCCCAGAAGCATTTCTACTCCTGTTGCTGCCCCCGAGTTTCACAGATGGGACAGTATGAGATTGAATTGCTCCAGCCAAAGACCCCCCTGTGGATCACAGCGCTCTTGTAGGGCTGAGGACTCACAGTTTTGAAAGGGATAGGTTATAAGCTTAGTGTGTGGTACCACCAGCAAGGACTTTTCACTAGCAGTCTCAGGACAGGAAAATCTTAGGGCAAAATAGGTTTGAAACATAAGTATTTCTTTTCTTTCTTGAGCTAAAAACCATCAATAAGGAGAGCATTAAAAACTAAAATACTGCCCTGGCCGATTTGGCTCAGTGGATGGCACATCGGCCTGCGGACTAAAGGGTCCTGGGTTCGATTCCGGTCAAGGGCACATGCCTGGGTTGCGGGCTTAATCCCCAATAGGGGGTGTGCAGAAGGCAGCCAATCAATGGTTCTCTCTTATCGTTGATGTTTCTATCTCTCTCTCCCTCTTCCTTCCTCTCTGAAATCAATAAAAGTATGTTTAAAAAAAAAAGCTATAACATTAAAAAAAACTAAAATACTATACAATTGAAAATACATATCGTATCGTTATGTCAAGAATGCCATATTAAAATGACCAAATATATTTTAAGTCACCATATTTCATTTCATGTTCTTTTTAAAAAAATATATTTTGTTGCTTTTTACAGAGAGGAAGGGAGAGGGATAGAGAGTTAGAAACATCAATGAGAGAGAAATATTGATCAGCTGCCTCCTGCACACCCCCTACTGGGGATGTGCCTGCAACCAAGTTACATGCCCTTGACCAGAATCGAACCTGGGACCCTTCAGTCCACAGGCCGACGCTCTATCCACTGAGCCAAACCGGTTAGGGCATAACTGCATCTTTTGATATGTAACTTATTAGTATAAATGTAGAGATCTTATTAGAGGATTTTGAAGGTATTAACTTAAAGCTTTAGATTTCTTACTTAATAATAATTTTTATATGTACCTTGTAGATACAATTTCTTCATAATCAGCTACAATATCTGATAAGTTAAATTTGCTAACTTTGACAATTCTTTTCATTACCATCTTTCTCATCTACAAAAAAAAATTAGAATTTAAGAAATGCATAGTTTATAATTTAAGATAAACTATTTACAATACTACTGGTGCCACTATTTTTTCACCCCTTAATTTGTGCAAGCAATAAATGGTAAGGGGGATTAGATAAGTGAAAATATGGTTCTGCTTGTTTCCATTATTAAAATCATTCCTACTCTCACATTCATGTCACACCAAAGCAAGTGTGTGTGTTTTTCTACTTTTTTGTCCTTCCATAACCCTTTCATGTCATCTTAAACTCTGTTCTTATCTCTTTTTACACCTATCCTAGCCCAATTTAAGCTCCTTCCTCCCTTTGTCCCCTGAACTGCTGTGATACTACCACATTACTAGTAAAAGTAAAGATTCTGGCAAAATGCTGGTGTATTTCTCAAAATGAACTTTCAGGGTCAAAAAGAGTTCAAAGTTGTTAATGTTCATGTTTAAGTAGAAAAGGTTAGGATATGCACTAATAATGAGTTTGCTGTCCATTGCATCAACAATGTAGATCAACAGTGTACATTTACAGATGGTATGTAGCTAACTCTGAAAAGGAAGTGAACAGAACAGAAAACCCGTCACTGATCAGAAAGAGGTGATGAGTAAGTAGATTTGTCTGTCTGACTCTCTGGGAAGCCCATAGTACCAAACATCCAGCAGACCAGTTTTCATAGGAGTAAATGCAAACATATTGTTAATATTATTTTGCAGTTGTTACCTTTTTCAGAAAATTGACAGAACTAATCCTTTGGGCGGTAATAGAATTCACATCTGAAAAGGACATATCCTTCTCTACCTGACTTTCATATTCCTAAACAGAGAATTAAGTTAGTTTCACTTCTTGGATGTCATAGTTCAGATATGACATGCTGCAATAAAATGTTAACTATTTATTTCAGTTCATGTGTGGGAGACATTGGCAACATTCTGGCATTAAAAGAGGAAAACATTTCTTTCAGATTCTCCCACTGATAATTAGCTAAAAACAGTTTCTATTTTGTTTGCTTCTAGGATGTGGTCCCTTCATCTTTTAAAAAAGAGTAATGATTGAGAAAAATTTGACATTATGAAAATGTGAAGATGATTAATAAATATTCTATAAATATGCTATGGTTATTACAATTGGTTCTTTCTACAGGAATTAGCTCTTACAATCCGCTATCTTAAGACTAGTGATTGTTTAACAACCAGTTATCTGGAAGTGGGGGGGAGCCCCAATTTGTAGCAAGTGCTGATTTATGGTGTAAATATTTCCCCAGCAACCAAATTAAACAAATTTAAAGCAGCCAACATGAAGTCACTGAAGGTGGAGTTGGAAAAAGGTGCACATTAGGCTCTGACAGCTGGTGATGGCCGGCTCCCGCACACCACTCCCACATAGCTTAAGACTAAGTCCCCACACCCCCATTTTAAAGTTCCTGAAATTGAGGTGCACTTTATAATCAATGTGTACATTTAATGTGGTAGTGTTTCTTTCCCTTATATCCAAAAGTTTCTTTTAAATATGTGTTACATTTTACGATAGCAAAAATACAGTATTTACATAAATTTAGAATACACCTAAAGGATTTCGGCTTTGAAATACTTTGAACAACTAAGTTACAAAGTCAAGCTAAGGACTTTCTGGAATTAGGAGATCTGTACATTTTTAATGTTTAAAGAAAGGGGGGAGGTCTGTCTACTGGTTATCAGTTAAAAAAATTAAGACAGATTTAAAGCAGCAAAACATTAACTTATAAATTATACTCAAATAGAAACCACGTACCTGGAAGACTGAGTCTGGAATCTCTCTGTCATAAAGGGGTATTTGCTGCAGAGGGAAAATACCTAATTGTCCTGCATTTCTAAGCTGCAATAGCCGGAAACGTTTACTCTTTTTCATTTCCTCTTCAGAAACAAAACTTGATTCTTCTTGCAACTGTTCAAGACGAAAATACTTTGGGATATCCTTCCCTTTATGTTTCATGTACTGTAAAACATAAATAATAAAAGTCTTGACTTAATATATATTAATTTTTAATTAGAAATTTATTTCAACACATTTTAATGTATAAAAATGTCAAACCACTATATTGTAAACTGAAACTAATATAATATTGTATACTAATAACATTTAAATTTAAAAAATTAAACAATGGAGAAAGGGAGGCCTCTGCAATAAATCTTGTTGGAATAATTGTAAAGCCACATGCAAAAGAATGAAAACAGACTGCTTTCTGACGCCATACACAAAAATTAACTCAAATGGATTAAAGACTTGAATATAGGATCTGTGCTGAGTGAAATAAGGCAGACAGAGAAAGACAAAAGCCAGATGATTTCACTTTTATGTAGAATATGAGAGAAAATCACTATTTCTGTATGCCTGTGATCAATTCAGCACATCAGTTGAGAGGCTCTGATCTAGGGACACTTAATTGCAATAACCTATTTAAGCGCTGCTTTATTCAATAAATGCAAATGGGAGTACAGGGTACATGCAAGGAAGAGTGTTAGTTGCCATAAGAGAAATAAATATTTATTTGCTGTAGTCCCACAAGGAAGGATAAAACACAGTAATGACTACAGCATAAGGCAGAATGAAATTAGAACCATAACAGTTATAAAAAGAAAAAGAAAAAAGGTTAACAAGAGGGCAAGGAAAGAAGAGCATATGTTTAACTGAGGTTACCAAAGAAATGTTTATCAGATTTGGAGGATGGATAAGATAGCCTCTATGCGTGGCTTTCTAGGCAGAGGGAATAACATGAATAAAGGTGTGGAGAAAGCATTTTGGGGCACATCTATTCATATTTCTATGAACAATTCAGTTGGCTATAAGGAAGAGTAGGGGAAGTGAATATATAATGGAGTCTTTGAGGGAAGTAATGTGTCTGTAAGCCATCTTTATATACCTAGCATCTAATAATACAGCTGGCACTCCAGTAGACATGCAATAGATGCTAGTCTGAAGGTCAGCCAGTAGGATGTGCTGTGGGCTGCTTAGTGGCAAAGTACCAACCATTGGGCCTCAAGTAGCATTTCAGTGGCTGAATTTCTTATTGCCTTTATAATACTGTAAACTGGTTGTAAACTGTGTCTGTCCTGAGATTTACACTTACATGCCTCCTAATGCCTAGAAAAAATGTGCAGCAAACTATTTTTTAAATATATTTTTATTGATTTCAGAGAGGAAGGGAGAAGGAGAGGGAGACAGAAACATCAATGATGAGAATCATTGATCGGCTGCCTCGTGTAGGCCCCACACTGGGGATCGAGCCCACAACCCAGGCATGTGCCTTGACTGGGAATTGAACAGTGACCTCCTGGTTCATAGGTGGACTCCAAACCACTGAGCCATGCTGGCTGGGCACAAACTATTTTTAAATAGTTTAAAAGTAAAGGAGCCAGAGCTTAGAAAATAGAATATATTTCCAGAATTGATATTTGCTATAACTTACCATAATAAATTCCATTAAATCAGAATATTCTGGATTATTTGGGTCAATTCTGACTTCATTTGCCCATTCAAAAAGCTTCTGTGTATTAATGAGCCATGGAATTCCAGGATCGCCTCTTGCATCTACATTTCTTAACACACTAACACAGAGAAAAATATTTGTGAATGTGCATACAATATGCAGGTTATGTATTTGTTAGTATTTCCCCAGCATAGGGAACAGCGTTATAAATGCCCATTTCAGGTATTTAAACATAATACCTACCCATCCCCTACATTTAAGATAAAATAGAAGGTTTACATGTGATATCTCTTCTGGGTCTTCTGAGAATATTCTAACTTGTGTCATAGAGTTTTGATAAGTGTCCACCCCCCTCCCTTCAGTTGAGAGGCTCTGATCTAAGGAACCCTTCTGATCATAACCCTTAGGCTCTGACCTAAGTTTCACCTTAAGAGACAGTCAACTTCTTGAGGGTAAAGTGTCCACACTCTGTGTAGCAGCTAAAACATAGTAAATGCTAAATAATAACTGGTGCATATTGGATGTACTCTGCAAACCCTGAGCATAGTGACTTATTAAATATTTTCCTTCCATAGATGCACGGTATTGAGATGTAACCAAGATGTCTGCTTAAGAAAAATTAATAAAATCCATAGTATATAAGAATCTTTAGGTTACATTTTTACAGTTGAAACATAATATAGAATATGAATTAACTGGGAAGTATTGCCAAAGGAGTATCTTTATTTGGACCTCTTTTGGTGCTATACTCTGATTCTCACAAGTCATTCTTGCCTTCTGGAGAATTCATCCCAGGTTCCTAGAACGACAGCTCAGCACCAGCCCTTGAACTCCCACACTGTAGAGGAGAGTTCTGTAACTTCCCTCTCTGATGTCAGAGGCCCCAATGGTAAATTTTACTTTGAGTTAACTTCTTTAGAGAAGGCCCTGGACTTTGAAAACCTCTCTTACAATTCACTCTCTGTTGAAACCTGTCGTATGCCCCCATCTTTCAATCTTTTGTAAACTTGAGTCCCCAAGTAACTGGAACTGCTAAGTGCAGCATCACAGAAAAGTGATAGAGAAGAGACTTAAAGAAGTAAAAGGATGAGGACAAGCCAATGAGTATCAGAAAGTCACTGGTAGCCTTCGGGAATCCGTGGATTGCTTTAGGGAAGAAATATGTGAATAAAAAGTGAAGGCACTGTAGGCAGACCAGTATACTACCCAGGTGAGGGCTTAGTTAGATAGGAAAAACAGCCCAAAAGTGTTTTTTAAGGTTTAATCAGATGACTGGATTGTTCTTTGTTTAAAAAAAAAGGCTTCTTATATATAAAAGACTAACAGCATATAGAGATGGAAAAGTTGAAGATGATATAAGAAAAGGATATAAAAAAGAAGAAAAGAAAAGGATGTAGATACATCAGCAGAATCCTAAAAGAAACAAAGGAAAGTTCCAAAATACCTTTATAAAAGATTGCCCATATATTAGCTTTAGAGTGAGGAGAACAAATATCTGACTCTAAGAATAAAAAGCAAAGAATATGTGAAATGAGACAAAGGTAGGAAATAGCTGCAGTTGATACTATACTAGGGAAATACTAAGAAATAAAAGAAAATAATGGTTCAAGGTATTAAAAGTTTATTCATTAGATAGTCAATTAATTTTATTACTTGTCTACTTTTTTTCCTAAAATGCCCTTCTCCAGGCCTTGAAGAAGATGACATCATTTATTTACCAAAACAAGGACATCCATCAAAATTGCATTTGCCTTCATAGTGATTTCTGTCTCATCCTCTGACTTGAAGAAGAGATATTTCCTCTTCTCTAGAACCATAGCTATAAATTTGTGTCTGGTTCAATATCTTCCTGACTCTGAAGGATCTCATACTTTTTCTAATATATTCTCTGGCTCTTTTCCCATGGATTTCATCACTTCTTTTAAGAAGATAAAGATTGCCCCAGTTTTTAAGAAATCCATACCTTGATTCTATTGTCTCTCTTATTTTCAGTCTTTTTTCCCCCCCAGCCTGTTAAACTTCTTGACGAATAATGTACACCCACTAGCTCAGTTTCCTCAAAATCAACTGGTGTTTTTTAAAATATATTTTTATTGATTTCAGAGAAGAAGGAAGGAGGATAGAGATAGAAACATCAATGATGAGAGAGAATCTTTTATCAGCTGCCTCCTGCACACCCTCTACTGGGGATGAGGCCCACAACCCAGGAATGTGCCCTGATTGGGAACAAAACCGTGACCTCCAGATTCACAGGTCAACACTCAACCCTGAGCCTCGCAGGCCCGGCTCAACATCAATTGCTGAGTGCTACTAACATTTAGGTGTTGTTGTTTTTTCTCTAAAACTTGTTCTTTACCACAAAAAGTACTTATAAACTCTTACTATAACTCTGGCCATATGCCACTGGTTTTATACAAAGTGTTCTCATTATTTTAAAAGTTGCTAATTTCCATTTTGATCTCCTTTCGAATCCAAATTATTTATAGTGATGTTTTTAAATATTTTTATTCTATTTTTAAAATACTTTTTAAAGAGCAGTTTTAGGCTCACAGTAAAAGTGACCAGAAAGCGCAGTTTTCATATGCCCCTTACCCCTCACACTTCACAGCCTCCCCACTATCAACATCCTGCACCAGAGTTATAATTTACTACATTCATTGCAAAAAGAGTGGCATTTGTTGCAATACATGAGCCTATGTTGGCACATCATGATCACTCAAAGTACATAGTCTACATTCGGGTTTACTCCTAGCACTGTACATTCCATGGGTTTTGACAAGCATGTAATTATATGTACCCATCATTATGGTATCACACAGAGTAGTTTCAGTGCCCTAAACATCCTGTGTGCTCTACCTAATCATCCCTCTCTCTTCATAACCCCTGGCAACTCCCAATATTTTTACTGTCTCCATAGTTCTGCCTTTTCCATAACATCATATAGCCAAGGTCTTTTAAAATGTGTGTTTAGATGGAGAGGGGAAAGGCCATTGTTCTGGTATCATCACTCATTAATTTTTAAATGATGGAATCTATGTGGCCCTTTATATTTACCATTTTACTCAAACACAGCATAATATAAAAGGCAGCATTACCATCATTTTTATAAAATTTTACTGTACTTATTTCTAGTAATCCTATTTGTGGATATGACCTATAAGTTAATTCCAATTCTTCTAGAAAGTCCTGGGACATAGCATAAAATTTCTAGGATTTTCTTTCTAGCAAGTTGATAAGACATAAATTATTATTTTATAATCCAGAATGACTGGGAAATATAAAGGCCCCGGAAATAAAATCCTTGGGAGTCGGCCTTTCTCATCCTGCATGTGACTATAATCCTAAGCAAGGAAGAGATACACATTATTACATATAAAGACACTTATTATCTTATAGGATACTTATCAATAAGATGTATAAACGTCTTATATATTTAGAAATATATTAACATTTTATATATTTATAAATATATGAAAAAAATAAATCAACATCTAAATAAACTAAATTCCTATTGCTGCTAGTTTTTTCCCTTTTATAGACACAGGTTTTGTGTGATGCTTTGCTGAGGAGTGGAATTATTTTTCAAGCATAAAGGTTTACTACCTGCAGTAAGCAGATCTTAATGACTGCGACATAGGTGTCAGAGGAATGCCATTTTCATCTAAGGCCCATGATAGGGAATAGCTTAGTTTTCCTGATGTGAAAAGACAAAGTTCTTCAGTTTCATTTCCCTCAAGAAGAAAAGGCACATCTGTTTATAAAGGGCATTAAAAACAAGTAAATTTTTTTAAAAGTGTGCAATTTGAACACATTGTAGATCCGCCCCTTCCCTCCCCCCACTTTTACTTGTGGAAATCCAGGAACACATAGGAAACTCTGTGCTGACCCCAGGCTCAAACCTGAGAGCTCCCCCTCATCACCCATCTAAGATGCCGCAAGGCAGATTGCTTCACACAGACTACAAAGAGAGGAAAATATTGATCTGGTTACATAAAGATGGACAGTGCTGGGCTGCTGGGGCCGGAGCAGAGACACAAACCCACAGGGGGGCCGGGTTTGATTCTGATCAAGGCCATGTACCTAGATTGCAGGCTCCTCCCTGGCCAGGGCCCAGGTCAGGGCTCATGCATGAGGCAACCAATCTTAGTGTTCCTCTCACATTGATGTTTTTCTCTGTCTTTCCCTTTCTCTTCCACTCTCTCTAAAAATCAATGGGAAAATATCCTCACGTGAGGATAAAAAAAAGAAAGAAAGAAATGTCATATCCTATGAAAGAGACATCTTGAAAATGCCTAAAGAAAGTTGTCATTTTTTCGTGGTGAAGGGACTGAAGTCCGTGTTGATAAAAACACCTTGGCAACTGCGGCAGTGGCAGCAGCAGCTGGGTGTTGGGGTGGCGCCTTCCCCTGATCAGCCCGGTTGCCTCCTGCAGAGGGAGGCCAGACTGCTGTCAGTAAGACATCCCCTGAGGGCTCCCAGACTGTGAGAGGGGGAAGGCTTGGCTGAGGGACTCCCCACCCCCCGCCCAGTGCACAAATTTTGTGCACCAGGCCTCTAGTTTTTAATAAACTTACTGCTTCCTACTTCTCCATACTCAGGCATGACCAGCTCATCAGAGCTAAACTCTACATATTCCAAAGCAGTTTTGCTTTTCAGCTCTGTGTTGTTAGGCAAAGGTACATATAGTTTTGCCAGCAAGTTTGTCCTTTTATTTATTTCATAAACCTAAATAGAAAAGAAATGATTGATAGCTCAGTGAAAGTACAAAATTTTTTAAACTAAACTAAGGACCCTTATAAACACCCATTTGTATTCTTTTTTCTTAAATGCCAGAATATAAAATAGGTATTGTTCTATAGTATTTCACCTACTGATTGTGAGAAAAGTAGATAATTGTACATCCCTAAAAGTAGAATGCCTTTCACTAGTTTCAAGGAAAATAAATTTAATAAGAGGATTATAAATACAGTTCTGAGAATATAGGTAAACATAACCCAATACCTGAATAACTTACTTTTGTGTAGCACTTTTAAAGTTCCTTACCTCATTTAAACCTGATGAAAATTATCGGAAACTGGTATTATTCTTCCCATTTCATTAGGAAATGGAGTCTGTATATAAAACTATATTTATTTTTATTATAAGTGATGGAAACTCAGGTTGACTTGCTTAGAAAAAAGGGAAATTCATTAACTCATGGAATCCAAGGGCAGATTAAACGAGCTGTAGGGATAGGGGAGGGCAAAAAAGTCCCAGTAGATAGTTTCACAGATGCCCACTGGGTACTAAACCCAGGTCTTTTGATTCTGTATGCTGTGCTTTACCTACAATTCCATCACTGCCATAATTACAAACCTAAAGTTTTTTTCAATAGCAAAATCTTCATTTGACCTGTACTGTGTTTGGTAAACAGTGATATGTACTCTAAGAAGAAGGAAATAGGGGGAACAGTGGGAGCGGAATGCTCCTTGAAAGTTAAGAAAAAATGTGTCAATCAAAAAGGGGGTTGGTTAATCAAGAAAGCAGAGAAAAAGCAAAGTCCGAGGCAAATATTTTTTCTAGTTATCTAAAAACTGCCCCTTGTAAAAGTTAACTTAAGCCAACACACTGGTCTCTTTGACAAAAGTGTCCCTAACGCTGAAAGGTTTGTAGGAGTTATTGCAAATGGACTTAAGTATTCAGGTCTGTGAAAGGAATTTCTTATTGTAAATCATTTTATTAGCCAACTAAAGAAAGACAGTGAACTGATAAATATATTCAAAGGATGAATTGGCACTCTGATTTGACAAATCAGCCTTGTAAATTTGTTTAGGGAACTGCCTTTTCAGGGGATTGTCAAATCCCGTTTCTGATACTGCAAGGCTGGAGAGGTCAGATCCTGGATAGAAGTAAATGTAAAGGTAGAGAATTCCACCTGGTGAAGTCCCCAGGAGACAGCCTGCCCCCAGATAGCAGCTATTAGCACCACTGAATGGCAGAGATGAAGTATCAAGAACGGGCATTTTAATGGAGGAACTGGAGTGGTCAATCGTTCTGAAGTAGGAAACTGCAAGGATATATGGTAAAAACACAAGTAACTCAGTTTGGCTGAATGAAGAATCAGTAAAGAGGAATGGTAAGAAGTAAATCAGAAATGTAGATTAGAATCTCTTACACTAGGGCAGTGGTCGGCAAACTGCGGCTCGCGAGCCACACGCGGCTCTTTGGCCCCTTGAGCGTGGCTCTTCCACAAATAGCAGGTGCGGGCGCGCATGTACAGTGCGATTGAAACTTCGTGGCCCATGCGCAGAAGTCGGTATTTTGTGGAAGAGCCACACTCAAGGGGCCAAAGAGCCGCATGTGGCTCGCGAGCCGCAGTTTGCTGACCATTGCACAAGGGCATAAAAATTTATATTTCAACTTCTGCAGCTGCTAATGATGTAATTTATCTCTAGCTAGATTAGTTTCTTTCCCTGCCTCTTAGTTTGTTAGGGTTATATGCTAAGTAGTGAAAAATTCAAAAGTGGATTTATCTATATTGGGGGCATTTATCTATATTTTTAACCTCAAGTGGTTGGATTATAATTTTTAAGATGACAGGCTCTTGATAGTACAGATAAATAAAATGAATACAACTCTGGTCAGGGATAGCACAAAATGATCTAGGCACTGTAAAAATAACAGATTTAGATTTGTAATTATAATCTTCTCTCCAGTCCTCAAACTCAATCCCAACCTTACATACACAAATCTTTATTCCCTCAAAACCTTTCCTTTGGGTATAGATGCAAGTTCAACCCCTATATCGGCCATCAAAATTTCTTGTCTAGACTCCTTTATGGTCTCTAATTTTTCTCCATTGTCCTATTTTCTTCTTCCTTTAATAGTGCAGGGGTTCTCATGATGGTGTCTTTGGACAAAGATCAAGGGTCTATTGTGTGTATGATCTTTCATCAGATTTTTAAAAAGATCCCAAATCCAAAAATAGGTGAAGAACAAATACAGCAAGAGACTGAAATCAAGTCAAGGCTGGAGCAATTTGGAGACATCCTTCAATACTATTGTAATAGTTATACCTCTCACTATAGCTTCCAGAGGTCACCAACCTTTCGGACCTCGCGGACCACCAGTTGGCGACCACTGGACACAACCCTCTTCCACCTCACTAGCAAATGAACAGTAATACTGCACACCAAGGGTTGGTAGAAATTTTAGCAGGAAAGAAGAGAAGTATTTAATTAATCAAATAATTTTGTACTTATAGTATAAAAACTAATGATAAATTACAAATATGTTATTTATAAATATCTTCTTTAGCCATATAGATCAGTTATCTCTAAATGTAAAAGAAATAACTTATCACATATAACAATAGCTAACAAGAAATTTAAAATTATGTATGGGTAAAATAAGGTACAAAAGTAAATAACAATGACATACCTCCAAGCAAATTGTTTCAGGCCAATATATTAACTGGATATTGAAAATCTGCTGAAACATGACTTTAAAATCAAACTGCAGAGGAGATATTGAAGTGCAAGAAACCTGTTTATCATTGTATAATATTTTAATAAAATATTTAAGCTTCTGAATTTTGGCTCTCCTCTTTTGTTCATGCCTAAAAATTAAAGAAACCTTTAAAAGACCATTGAAAAGCAAAATGGACATAAAATGTTCACTTCAAAATGTACCTTAATTTAGCATGTTAAAATATGATTATTTTAGAGGGCAAATGGTATCTTTAAGCCCCAAAACGCTTGCCAAAATGTGGATAAAACTTCTGCTACCCAGTAAAATGTTTTTTCAAGAAAAATATTTACTCAAAAATAGAAAAAGAACTAAAATCAGGGTTCTGTAAATCATTCAGGTATTTATTTTACTAAATTTTAAGCACTTACCTATTATAAGATGATTTATGAGAAGAGGAAACTGAGGGACTTAGTAATGGGGTTGGGAAACTTAAATCAAGAACTCAAAAATATTGTCTAACTCTTAAAAGAGGTACACACACACACACACACCATGTTTTCAATAACCTCAAAGAGGTGGCTCTAAGTCATGAGGCTTGCTGTGTTCTATTAAAGGCCTTTGGAAATCCCTTTAGGCTTTAGGTTGTACACCCTTTTTCTCCAGGTCATTTTTTCTCTGAACCCAAAGATTTGAGAGAGGTTAGTTCTCTGGGGCTTGTTAGGGAATAAATTGACCCCTTGAGTGAGATGAAAGTCCTAAAAAGAGTCTTCCATCCATTCATTTATTCGTTCACTAAACTAACATTTACTGAAAACCGTTTTAGCTTCACGGGAACTGACCTAATGATGTTTAAGACTTGAGCCACTTTTTCAGAAAGAAGACAGGTTGGAAAATAAGCCTTAGTTGAAATATAAAAACCCCCTCTGTTCTCCACCTTAATCATCCTCTGGGTCCAGGATCTCCCTGCCCTCAGATAAGCCCATCTTCTCCGTAACCTTCTCAGAGGGTTCAGAGACAAAAGATTACTTATTCTCCGTTAGCCTCTTCTAACCATCTTCCCAATTACCCTTAGAGAAATATCTTAGTACAATTTGCCCCTCATGTTGCCCTTTGAATGTAATTTTAACAATGAGCTCATGAACTGATGATGAAATTCATTAATTCAGTATTATATTTATCTTGAGATAATCTTGTTTTTTCTTCACCTGTAAACTCTTCAATTCTTCTTTAATTCCTGTACTCCTTTCATCTCTATCCTTGACATCAGTACATTATTTTTTTCTAGAGAGTCAATTCTTATTCAACTGGATATTTTAAATGGATAATGAAAGCAATGCCGCACAATAGCAATTGCTTTGAGAAGATAGAAAGCACCATATTTCCTTTTGCCTTGACTTCCACTAAGTTTTAGTCTAGGCGTTCCAGCACAAATACCTTCCTCCTTCTCTCTCTCCTCTTTATTTCCATCTTCCATTATATGGAACCTGTTCTCTTGTCTTCATTTCAGTGGTTCTCCCTTCTGGCCCTTTAAATACAGTTCCTCATCCAACCATAAAATTATTTTCGTTGCTACTTCATAACTGTAATGTTGCTACTGTTATGAATCGTAATGTAAATATGCAGAATGGTCTTAGGCGACCCCTGTGAAAGGGTCGTTCAACCGCCAAAGGGGTCGCGACCCACAGGTTGAGAATCGCTGATTTAGATGGTCCTTCTGTAGGTGTGTCTTACATAATAAATTAACTCAGACCCCTTTGAGAAGTAGGTATAGAACAAATCAGTACTTCACCACTGTACTTCTCTGGTCAGAAAGACAGTAGTGCTTAAGTCTTTGTGTCTGCTACTTTTATGTTCATTTTAAAATGCAACCATCATCCATTCAGTTAATGTATATGAATATTTATTGGGCACCCACTGTCTTACAACACTGTGCTAAATTATGCACATTCACAATACTCAAAGACGAAGTGGTCCAAAGTGTCCCATGAGACAGAAATGTTGAAAAGTTGGACCTAGTTCAGTGCTCTAATTTGACTTATCCTCTTTAAGGGAGATGAGAGCCACAGGCCTACAGATGGGAGAAATGACAATATGTGTGATACCTGTTTTTGCATGAAATGTCCCAGGAGTAGGGGGAAACATTATAGCTCAAGGAAGAAGTTGCAAGTGGGAAGGAAAGACGTTTATGTCAAAATATAAAATTGCCCAGAGGGGCTTTCATTTTATGAAAGCAAAGGGTCCCTTAACAAGCTAGGGCTACTATATAATCTTATTTTACAGTGGCTTTATATCCTACCTATCTATACATGAACAAAAATTACTACCACAGCAAAAACAAAAAACAGTTATCAAACCAAACTGGTTTATGTACCACCTCACTGATGAATTAGAGATGTGACCCTGGGCTACTTAACCTTTTATAAGCGAATAACACCATAGACCTATAGTAGCAATTAAATGTGCAAATGTGTAAGATAAAGTAGCAAAGTGCCCGGCATACGGTACTCACTCAAGAAATCTAACATTATTATTAAAAATTAAACAATTAATAGACAATATATAAGAAAAAAATAAACCTGTAAAATGCTTACAGTGAACACTTGGATAAGTTTGTTAATTCTTCAGCAAAAGAAAGTTGTGGCATCAAAGTGATTGGCTTTATTCCTTCAATATCTGTTTCTTCAAGTTCTGAAGCTAAACATAAGAGGCTCTAGAAACCAAAAAAAAATAAATGTGTAATTTACAATGTAAGTTCATTGCTTAGGACATTTATTCTTAATATTAATCTTTTATTTCCTATATTTGTCATTTTGTTGGGTAACTGTTACAAATACAAAGATATCCTATTTTATCTATTAAATATCATAACTGTTTGAGTTAAATATCATTTTTCAATATAAATACCTCCTCATTTCCCCCACTGTTATATGCTTTTCCTTCAGTTTTCTTCTCAGTCTCAGACATTTCTGACATTTCTCCTTGATTTTGTTCATCAAATTTATTTATTTTTATCCTAGTTAATAATAAATAGAATTATTTAAAGCAAATATAATGAAAGTATTGGACAGTTATAATTGTGCTTGCACAACTCTATGAATATACTAAAAACCATTGACCTGCACACCTTAATCAATAAAGAAAAAAGAAAAAAGAACTGCACACTTTAAATGGGTGAAATGTATGGTATGCGAACTATATCTCATTAAAACTGTTTTTTTTATTTAAATTCTTTATTAGAACTGTTTTTAGAATATATGCTCTTGCCTTCTGAAATACAGTACAGTAAGTTCAGTGTGGATATTACCTGTATGGGCTGAGAGCGACTACCTGTGTTGACTGGCACTATGGAATCTGGGCAAGTTCCTACAGTGTTCTGTGCCTTACTTTTCTCATTTGAAAATTGTGTTGTTATAAGGATTATATGAACTAATTCATGTAAAGTGCTGTTTGGTGCTCGAAGCATAACTAACAATAAATATTATTGTTTTCCTCTGATTTGGGGTAATCAATATGAACTTATTGTTCCTAATTAACTTAGTGTTCTTTAATATAATGGCTGTCAAACTTTGTCACATTCAAATCACTGGGGAGCTTTTTTAAAGCTTTTTTTTTTTTTTAGATAAACTGTTGAAAATGTTAGGAATTATAATAAAGGTGATCGTGAAACACTTTCATTAAAAACCACTGCAGTTGGGGGAAAAATCAACAAAGTAAACACCATTTTTATTGCCTGAAATTACACTAATCTTTTACAGTTTTGGGGGGGGTAAAAGACCCAGGAACAATGGGTTAGGAAGGAAACCAGTTATTTAACTGTGAGTTCACAGCTTCTGTGAGTAACAAGTATGGTTTTTAATTATAACTAACTCCTCCAATAGACATGTTTTTATAATTTACATGTTTTACCCAGGAGTGTGATTGCTGGATCTATATTTAACTTTATAATAAAGTGCCAAATTGTTTTAAAAGTCAGTGTACAATTTTTCATTCCCACCAGCAATCAATGAGAGTTACTATTACTCAGCATCTTTGAAAGCATGTGTTACTGTCTCTTCCTTTCCTTTCTTTTCTTTGTTCCGATTTTTAGCCATTCTAATAGGCATGTAGTATATTCCATTGTGGTTTCAATTCACATTACTCTACTGACCTGAAGTGATGTTGAGCATCTTCTCCTGTGCTCATTTGCCATCCATATACCTTCTTTAGTGAAGTGTCTATTCAAATCTTTTGCCCCTTTTAATTAAATTGTAAGAATTGTTTATATATTCAAGATACAAGTCCTTTGTTGGCTACATCAAATAGTTATCAAGCTTCTTTTCTCCCAATTACTGTGAATTGCCAGTTATTCATGTGCAGTTCCTCAGAAATGTTATAAGAACCAATAGAACCACCACTCACCTCTGAAACTGTAACTTTATCGGGGTGCTTATAAACCCTTGCTGTTGTCGAAGAGCTTTTATCTGTTTCCAAGTACGTAATATACTTTGTAGTAGAGAGAAGTCCTTTTCCCTTTCTAAGTCATAGAGCTGTTTTGTATTACTACAACAATAATGGTAGATTAAAAAAATATTAGCAGATTAGAATTATTTAAGTCATTAAGATGGCCTGGAAGAATGTATTACACTAATTCTTCTGGACTCCCCTTGGCCACCTCATGTTTTTTTTCATTTTACCCATATCTTGATATAGAAACTGAAATTCCATTTAGTGATTCATTCCTTTATGGCTTAAAGTTTTTCACTATTTTCTTTGTCATCCCCTTTACATTCTCCCTTTTATGAAGTTTAACACCTGTTTCTACAGGATCTCCTATTAGACTTTCTATTTAAGGTGAGCTTGGCTTTATCTTTTGCCTTTGTCACTCCATGAAGCCATTTGAATGCCAGTCAGAATTACTAGTGTTTAACAAATACACCCCATGTAAAAGCTGACTTTACCCCTAATTTTTAGAATTTTTTCCTTTTACCTAGTTTTTGGCTTTTGTAGATTCCTTACCTTTTTGCCATTTCAGCAATAAAAATAGTATTATCAGACATTTTTACTTATTTTCATTAGAAGGGACATTCAGGGAATCTAGTCTACCATACTGATAGAGAGAGAAGCCTACTGCCATTCTTTAATTCATCCACTAAATATTTATTGGGTGCTTACTGCATGCCGGGTACTGTGCTGGTTAAGGGGAGATACAAAGATAAAAAGACAAGGTCAGAAAAGCTTATATACATATAAATTAATCAATGCAACAAAATGTTATAGGTGTTATGATAAAAGTTCACACATGCTATAGTGTGAGCATAAATAAGAGAGATAGGCAACAGGAGGGAAAGACTTCATAGAGTATGTAACATTCAATTCAAATCAATAAACTCATAATAAGTAAGTACTATGTGGCAGGAAATATTTAAGGTGCTGGTAACTAATATCCTAGCAGGGAAAAAGAAAAAGCAAATTACAAATGTGATGAGTATCATGAAAGGGGAAATACATAAGTGCTATGTGAGCATAAAAAGAAAGAGAATTAATCTAATCTAATGGGCAAAGTAAGAGCCTCCCTGAGAAAGTAACATGACATTGAATAAAATGTGTATGTTGACTAAATGTCAGGCAGAAAATGATGAAAGAACCTTTAGAAACTAGAGGCATTAAAACAAAGTTATGTAGACACCAGAGAGCACAGTCCATTTAGGGCACTGGACTATAAAGTTCCGAGATAAGAACCCCAAAAATGAGGCTGGAGAAGTCAGCAGGAGACAGATTATGGAGGGCCTTACAAATCATGCTAAAACCACTGAATTTTATCTTAAAGGTAATAGAAAAATCACTCTGATTTTAATATGGAGCATGGTTTAAAGAGAGGTATTTTAGGAGACTATTTGAGTAGTTAGGCTATGAAATAAGCACCTGAAGTAAAGCAGAATCAGTGGGAATGGTTACTGGCTGGGTGTGAGGGATGCGAGGAGAGGCAAGGAGACAGGTCACAAATGACTTGCAGATGTCTTTCTTGGGTACCAGGTGATGGTGAGTACTAGCCATCTAGTATATAGTCATTAAAGGCTGAATTCATATGTGCCATTCTTATTTAATTGTATTTCATGCCCACAGTTTTCCCAACAGAAACATTGTTTTTCAAATGGCAACAAACTCCCCTTTGAAGCATTTCAACACCACTCTGAAAATTTTTCTGAATGTAAATCTATCACACTGCTTTTTTTTGTTTTAATAAAAGCAACGATCTCTTCAGTCACACACACACACACACACACACACACACACACACACACACACAGTATTAGACTTCTGCCTATCCATCACCATGGGATCCCATCTAAAGCATACTTTTCTTTTTTCTATATTATAGTTTGTGTTCATTATGCCAATGTTTGTTCTTTGCTTCCAGTTTTAGCTTATAAATAACACTAGTTTGTTTTGTAAATACTGATGTCTTCTATTCATTTTCATTCATTCATCTAATACTTATTGAACACTCACTGTATGCCAGGTGCTGTGCAATATGTCAACCTTCTCAAGTAATATTGTTTGCATTTAACTAGGTTATTCTAGGAAAACAATTATTTAAAATCAACTCTTGCCTCTAGTAGTTAAGAGCTTGTAGAACTATGCCAGGTCAATGGGCAGGGAGTCAAGGAAATTCTTTATCAAATCCTTCTCGTATTTAGATAACTGTATGTCTTTGTGCATAATGGAACTTTCTATTCAATAAGCACCTCCCAATAAGCTTTCCTGCTATTGGAGATTCCTTGACACATAATTATGTTTTCTCTTGAAATCATTTTCCCAATTATTTCATACTTTCCTAACTTCTCTTCCAACTTGTAGACCATATTTTTTTACAGGGGTCCTTAAATCTATAACCTCTTTGGGTATTGCCTTTAGACTGAATTAATAATATATCTTGCACATATGTATATTTAGAGTAACTCTCAAATAAATACAAACACTTGAGATTAATATAATCCAAGTACAAAGAAAAGTATTAGTAAATATAGCTTTAATTGACGTGTGTTCTTTAAGAATCAATGGATATTAAAACTACAACTACTTTCATGTGACACTTCTGTGATATATTTTTACACACAAAAAATGGGTCTTAAGGAAAGGTTGGAACCATTTCTATAAATGCTTAAAGAGCAGGGAATCTTTTCTCTTTCTTGTTTTAAATTTTTCATAGCAAGTGAAGTGCTCTGTCTAAAAAAGTTACTTAATAAGTGCTTGATGAGTACATGAAGGGCCCCAAACCTACCTTATCTGCCAATAATAATCTTGTAAAGATTTTCCAGTCAGCTGGCTCATTTCCAAATCATCATTTAATAATTTGGTAGCATGTGTCAGCGCTTTAAGCTACAACAAAGAAAAGACCTTTTTGGGGGTACATTTCATTCATCTGTTACCATCATCCCAATTCACCTGTAGATCTAAGTTTGTGCAGTAGAAGCACAAATATATAAGTTTGGTGTATTACTGCCTTGTCTTCCAAAATATCCTATATAATAAAGGGCTAATATGCAAACTGTCCCCTCGGGCGTTTGACCGACCGGGAGTTCAACCGCTTGCTATGATGTGCACTGACCACCAGGGGGCAGTGCAGAATGAAGGAAGGCCCAAGCCGGCAGCTGGCAGCTGGGGGAAGGAAGGCCCTGATCGCCAGCCAGGGCTAGGGACCCTACCCGAAATTTGTGCACGGGTCTCTAGTATTTCTAGTATTTGGATAAAACTAAGAAGAACCTCAATATCTGTCTCAGATACAAACATTATACCTTAAACATTCTACATAATCAGTTCATCGATTAATATAGAGAAATACCAATCAATCAAGATGGCAGAATGAGCACAGGAATCTACCTTCTTCCACTTAAAATCCATGGTTACACAGAAGATACATGTTTAACTGTCTTTATCCATTTCCATTCCCATACCTATATAATAAAAGGCTAATATGCAAATTGTCCCCTCAGGAGTTCGACCAGGAGACCAGGAGTTCTATTGCTTGCTATGACATGCACTGACCACCAAGGGGCGGTGCGGAACATGGCAGGGTGCTGAGGGAGGAGGAGGCGGGGAGGCCAGGAGGCGGGGAACCTGATCGGCCCTGATTGCCAGCCAGGCCTAGGGACGCTACCTGTGCACAAATTTCGTGCACCAGGCCTCTAGAATAAGTATATTTGTAATTATATCTATATCTTGCAATAAAAAATAAATGCATAACATAGGAAAATAAGAAAAAATAAAATCAATAGAACAAAATATACTGAAGTATAAAACAGAGAGAATTATCCACAGAAAATATTATAGAGAAATAAAACTGAAGGAAACTATACCTAAGACATATGCAGGAGAAATCTGTTACAGTTAGAGACAGTTTAAGAAAATAAATTGAAGAAAAGTAAAAAGCAACTAGGAAACTACTTTTGGCTCCTAAGTTAAAAATAATAGTAATTATTATTATTATTATTATACTGAAACATGCATAAATCATGACCCCAAAATGTTATTTTATAAAGGAGAGTCATACTACATGAAAAATAAATATAGCCTTATATATGGTAATAGATAGTATTCTAATGAGATAAGATAAAATTGATATTGCTAGATCAGACTTTAAAGATTATACAATATTTTTGGAAAATTATAAAGTAGAAATCCATAAATCCTTTTCAATTACTTACATCTGAATTTCGGAGTAGATTCCTCCATTCATGAAAACAATAGCCATATTATACTTAAAATTAGAATGTTCAATATTTTTTAAAGAAATATTCTGACACTATTAATGTACAGTCTTCAACTATTAAGTGCTCCTACACAATTGCTACATAAAATTCAATTGAAGATATTCAGTTCTATGATTTTTGCTTTTGTATTTTACAGAGAAGATATACTAAAGTACAGTTCATTTACAACTTCTTGTAATGTCTTGGTGACTCCATCAGGCTTGAATGTTTAATTAAGTACCTTACTAAGTATTTTCCAAATGTACTCATTAGCTGAATGAGACCTATCAAAACATCTTTAAAGAGAAAACACTAGTAAACAAAATACTTATGTATCAGAAACTCAGCAGAGTTTAAATGAGAGGCACAAATTCAAAAAATAATCAGTGGATATTCTCTTGATTTCTCTTCAAACTTTATGGACCCTTTATGATGTCATTAGATATTTGGATTGATCATTCTTAAACTAAGACTCCTCACATTTGATATGAGATTTAAGATTGCTGATATTTTTATAAAAAATACTCTATAACAAGACTTAAAACAGCCATATGACTCTTTTAAATAGTAATCATTTCAAATACTCATTCCTAAGTCATAGGACCAAGAATACCAGTGATCAGTAAACCATTTATAAGTGCTACATATCCTGCAACTCCTACAGTTTCTTTTTAGAAAAACTGAAATCAACCATTGTTCTTATTGGTTAAACGAGAAGCCCAGTGCGTGAAATCACGCGGCCCCGCCCACCTGCGAGCGCCTCACTGTGCTCGAAGCCCCGCTCACCCGTGTGCACCCCACCCACCAGTGCGCGCCCCCGCCATGCTTGCAGCCCCTCCCACCTGTGCTGGTCTTTAGTCATTACGGCGTCATGACCACTGGTTTTTTATTATATCAATAATTAAAATGCTAAGGGAAAATGTCCTATGATAACTTGCTCTGTACTAAGAGGTTTGTTTACTCTTTCAATATTAAATGTTCAGCCCAATCTACACTAATAAAAGAGAAACATGGTAATTAGTGTACGACCGCTACCCTTTTCATTGGCTAATCAGTGAGGATATGCAAATTAACTGTCAGCCAAGATGGCGGCCGGCAGCCAGGCAGCTGGAAGTGAACATGAGGCTTGCTTGCTGCGGACTCCAATGTTCCCCGCCTCACTTGCCCGCCTCTGAGTTGCAACTCTAAGCAACTATGTACTATGTTGCAAATAAGAAGCTAAACAAAACTCCAGAAACCGGCTTTCATTCAGCCCCGGACCGCAACATTGTATCGATGTTTTCAGCAGCGAGGCCTCAGAGCTAAAGCTGGCCCAGAATAAAAAAAAAACAAAAAACAAACAAGGAGTGGTTGGAAGCTTCAGTCACTCGCTTCCGGAAAACAGCCCTCAGCCCCTCACCCAGACTGGCCAGGTACCCCAGTGGGGACCCCCACCTTGATCCAGGACACCCTTCAGGGCAAACCAGCCAGCCCCTACCCATGCACCAGGCCTCTATTCTATATAGTAAAAGGGTAATATGCCTCCCGGCACCGGGATCAGCGTGACAGGGGGCAGCGCCCAAACTCCCCTGATCGCCCTGCGGCTCTGTGTGTGACAGGGGGCGGGGCCACAACCTTCCCTATCCGCCCTGCTCTGTGCCTGATAGGGGGGGAAGCTCCTCGACCCCTGATTGCCCTGCCGCTCTGTGTTAACAAGGTGCAGCACACCAAACTCCCTGATCGGCCCTGCT